GCCCCAATGGGGCCCCACGATGGGTCGTGGGTTGGGTCGTGGGTTGTGTCAAAGACTAGTGCTAACCCAGCCATTGTATTGTTTTTCGATTGTGCAAGAATATCAGTGTATGATGTTTTACGTCATTTTCGAGAACGCCGCTCAGGAGGTAGTGTGCGAGTCTCTGGCGAGGGCTCGTCGGTAGCATTGAGAGCAGAGCACGCTGAGAAGAGGAGGCTAGACCAACAGAATGTCCGATAGATTGTATAGACGTGCACCCTGGTGACTCAGCAACTGCAAGTGGATGACGACGGCGCCAGTAATGATGGCCCTTCTGGCGGCAGGCGTCGCACATTTTACATAGCAGCGGCTGCCGGGGCGTTTGCATGAGGAGCTTTGAGAGCTATGCTCCAAAGATAAGGCCATAAGAGCGGAGTAAGTCGGGAATGGAAGGAAAGAATTGTATAGGGGGCGAAGGTAAATTTGACGTGTATGCCAGGCAGGGCATCAGGGCATATGAAAATGAAGATTAACAAAGACGTGGCGGTATAGAATGGAGACGGAAATATTTACAGAGTACAGATAGTAAAACGAGTAACATATTCGGATACAGAAATTCTCGAAAGGCAGCAATGAACGTGGAAGGCCAAAATTGTAGAATATAAGCATAGAAATAAAATAAAGTGCTGGAGGCACGCGAAAGTATTGGTGCGGATTACAGCTACGTAGGCGCGGCGGAATGACAGGCGAGTAGCAAGAAGAGAGCAGCAGACAGCCAGGATGTCGAGGAAGCAGCACCGGCATAGGCAGATTATTGCGATAGCAGACAGAAAGGGTATACGGCATAACATACAAGGATGATCCTTGCAAAACATGCAAAGCAGGATGATTAGGAAGCAAAGAGACAAAAAGAGAAAACTGAACACGAGAAGGAAGGAACGTGACCTGGGATCCAACCATGGCCAATGAGAGAGAGGCTTGGCGGGAAAGTAGGGTGTGTGTTTCTCGCTGCGTTTTTGGCTGTGTCAACGTCGGCGTCGCGCAGCCGTGGGGTTGGTAACCCCTTCCACTCCGTTCCTCCGTTTCAGGGCACTGGCGATGCGTACTGCGCACGCTGTGGCCCTGAAACGATGAAAAGAAAAGGCAGAAACAGAAAGTTAAAGCCATAGATTTGCTTGACTGATATTTGGATTGAGTATTGACTAATGAAGAGGTAGAAAGTAGCTGACTAATAGGAGCAACATCTTGGACACCGACAAATTAGTAATCTGTTAATCAACTATCGTATTTCGATTGTGCAAGTATATCGGCATACAATGTTTTCGTGGTCTTTGAGAACACCTCTCTGGAACTGGCGTGATGACCGGTGGCGAGGCTTTGATTTCGTTGGGCGTGTCTGGCCACGTAATTTGCGTGACTTCCTCATCGTCGGTCACCAGGTGCAATAACTTCAAGGGATTCCTGGGACTGGTGCATGATAGGAAGTGATTCAGTCTGTAACCTTGTAGGAACTTGAGGAATAGACAAAAGTGTTCGCCTTGTACTGTAAACCACAATTATGATAATACAGTAATATTCGAAATCAGCTTTACCTCTGCACTCTCTTACACTGTTTCCCAGAGCCCCGCCTAAATCGCACTAGTCCAGGTTAGGAGACTGATCCGCCTACATGGCATCTATCCTTGTACCTTTGATGAGTCAGGTTAAATTCTAGTAACAGTAATGAAAGACGATCTATAATTAGCAGCATGCGAGCATCGTAGCAAACAGAGCAATAAGCTTACATAACGCAGTTGTCCAGCTTTGATAGGATTCAGACCGAATTCCCCGCATGTTAGGCTGGACTTTGTCTTCTTGACTACCTGCTTGCCCCTCTAAGCTCTTCTCCCACGTAGTTCATGAGGCAAAACATCTCCTGTTGCCTTTCAGAAACTCGCCTACTCTTGTTTCTATCAGTTTAGCAGTCAATATCAGTGTGCATCTACCACAAACCTTCCTGGTATGAGGCTATTTTCGAATGATGTTGGATTCACTAACATTTTCGTCCCCTATAGCTATTGACAAAGTCGCGAATATGTGGGCCTACATCCAGAGCTTATTCAGAAGTCAACAAGAGCAGGTACCCACACCAACACCAGTCACGATTATGGCTGCCCGCTTTCCGGCCGACGGAAAATCTCCCCATTTAGTGCCCCTCCGGACGACTTCACAGAGCAATCATCGATTCTCTTTTGACGGACACGTACCAGACATGCGAGAATATTGGGACATCCCAGATCCATGGCGTTATGCGGACAAAGTGAGATTTGAAGTCACCGAACAATTGAACCCGATTTGTGATGGGATTTATATCATCTTTTTCACTTTTGCCATCGATGATCTTCAAGAAAATCCCAACTTCCCTCAAGAAATTCTAAATGACCGATTTTTTTACGGGGACGTTTTTGTTGTCAAGCTACAGGCACAAGAATATGGTGAATATGGCTGGGCGGTTTATGATGATGTACCCACGGAGTTTCTTGACTTGCCTCAACTGAGAGGTAAGAGAACACTCCGTTCGGATATAGAATATTTTTGTCATTAAGCGGGGTTCGGTGTCATATGTGAGGAAATTTGACCATCCTAAGAGTCCTGTCAGAAGTAAATACATAGGACTGCACATAGAACAGTCCATCAGTGGTCCTAACACCTGAAAGCTTACGTGATCTTAAGAAAAACTGTCGAATACTAAGATTGAATACATGGTGGAAACAGGGTATTTTACCCTGAATATCATGTGACACCTGGTACCACCCATACCATACAAAAGTGCATATTACAGTTAGTCATCTATGTCCGCCCAAATTGTTGAAAGCGCGGGTTTTGTAATTTTAGTTAGAGATTCCAATATATCTGAAATTGTCCATACGTTGTCATACAGCCCAGATTTCTGTCAAAAACCAATAACTAGTTAAAGATGGCTCGGGTAAGTCATTGATACCCTCATTACTGTAATTTACCATAATGTGTAAAGATACATTACATTGTTGGATGCAATGTAGGCGGGTCAGTCCCCTATCTAGGACTAGTGCGATTAAGGTGGGGCTCTGGGAAGCTGTGTAAGAGAGTGTAGAGGTAAAGCTGATTTCGAATATTACTGTAAGCGCATGGGAAAGCACTGGTACAAGTGATAGATACGCGGGCGCGTGGGAAGAACGGCAAGGATAAAGGGAAAGGAAGGGGCGAATAGGAAGAAGAGTGAAGAAAACCAATAATATGGCGACATGGTAACATGGCAGCTGGCAGGTGGTTGCAACAGCGGATAGGAAGGGGTTTGTTGTAGTTCAGAGGAATAAATTGATTGTTCATTGTACCAGAGGGAATAACTGGGGCTATATATACAATGAGAAGGTCATGTTGATTGAAAATCAACTTGGTCCTTCGTATAGACAATGCAGGAATTAATTCCGCTGGGGCTGCTTGAGTCCTGATCTGAACCAGCCTCATATCACAAGGGTTAATTGGGACAATATACTAGGATGACCCTTGTGAAACAGGCAGGCCGAGAGACCACTCAAGACAAGTCCCACCTAGACCTCGCCATATTGCTTTTTCGGGTACCTGTGGGTTTACCCACGACCCGCCAAGAACCCATGGGCCCGTATATTACAGAATTACATATGTAATACACGAAGTAACACATATAAAGCTCTGTAATATGGTATACATTACTGTTATTTAAATTTCTTGGCGGGTTTTGGGTCAAGGGTCGAAACCCAACCCACGACTTTGGCGAGGTCTAGTCCCACCAAAGGAGGCCGAACAAAGACGAGAATGAACACGTGATCACGAATCCAACCAACAACCAATGAGAGAAAAGCGTAGGCTGTGTGAATCGCAGCGTTCTAAGCAGCGTTAACTCAGCCTTGCGCAGGCGCACGGTTTGTAATCAGTTTCACTCCGTTCCTTCGTTTCAGGGCAATGAAATCTACTACTACTACTACTGTAGGGAGCTGGCGATCATCGCAGATCATCGAAACCCCACTAAATGATTTGACGCACTTCTGTGGCGAGGTACAGTATTTTTACACTAAGAAGTATGGTATAATTACTGTACAATTTCTGCCGATATTATAAAGCGGTGATTGAAAGTAATTACTAATTAGTGTATTTCGGGTTTATTTTCCGGGAATCAAATCAAAAGAGTAGAAGGTAAAACTGACTTCGAAAACGACTGTAATGTAACTCTCGGTTCAGATCGTTCGTATAGCGCGTGCATATTTGGTTAGTCACATAATTAAGACCCAACCTCTAGATTAACAGGAGGGCCATGCTCGATGTGATTCCGTTCCCAGGCTTCGACTTGGCCTCCACGCTGCTGCAGACACTCTTCCAAAACCGGGCGCCTCGTAAACGACGAAGCGTGCATCGTAGTGTATATATCTGTGAGGAAAAATGGACCATCATTTAGTTATCTACAACAATATGATGGAACTGGTGGGTGGTAAACACCGTGTTGGGGTCTCTCGGCCGGGCACAGTACAGGACTACACTGGGCCGCTCTGTCCACTGGTGCGGTTTATCGGAAATAAATTCAATGCGAAGGGATAGTAATACGTAGGATAGCAGCCATTAATGGTCAAGCGTGATATTTGAACACAGGGCACATCAATAGGCACCGAGTATGGATATGAATTGTAGGTTCTGTACAGCTCGCAGCAATTCATGGGCCTTTTATTTTATTTTATTTTATTTTATAGATTTGGGCGGAGGGAACCTTACTTTTAGAAGGCAGATCTAAGTATATTTGAGGACTCAAATACCTCTCTTCCTCTTCTTCTGATACATCTTTAATTTTAAGGGATAAGGGTAGTCACATGTTAAAGAACCCACAAAATTGATTGACTTTTGAAGTATTTATAGCCAGCTTCAAGCCCAGAATAGCCACTTCGCGTGGAACATTTGTGTAATAAATCAACTGCCATTTCTGAAATCAATATTGTAAACTTACTCATACTGCGAGGTTGTGCCGAGAAGTCAACATGCCGGTCGAGCAATCTCAACAAATCGAGGTTTATAAACTACTCTTCGAGGCCGGCTTGCTACAGCATATTGGCCAAGATCAGAAACCAGCCGGAAAGCTCCCGGATACAATTATCACTGGGAAAAGCCCACTTAGCAACCCACAAAAGACTAGACTTGGCACGGCGATTGACGTGGTATTGACTCACATAAAGGAGGCAGAAGATATCTGGCAGTGGCGTGCTTATAAAGGAGAGAATCTACGGGATCTGTTCGAGCAAATCATAGAATATGCAAAGAATGACGGTAGAGGCGAGGAAGCTGAGGATGCTCTAAAAAGTGGGTCTACTGTTTCAACCTCTTGATTAAGCTAACGGTACGTAGGGATCCAATCGATCGCTGGCGACGTACCGCAGCCATCAACTTTACAGCATAAGGAATCAGCAGAAGACACCGCTGGCGAAGAAAACATCCCTCCTGTGAAAGCAGAAAATTCTCCCCTACCAACAGGACAAAAGGACCATATTTCAAACGTCAAAACATACACCCCTGCTCCAAAACTGGTTTCCAAGCAAAATACCAGACACCCAAATATGCATATCACTAACCATTTGGGAGGTTTGAAGTTAGATCGCAAAAACAAGTCTATCACTCGTACGTGGGCTGAAGCAGGCTACGCGAACCTTGAAATAGAGAAAGATGAACAGAGGACCTGCGTCTTATTTGAGATAAAATCGGCACGCCCAAAAAGAAATAAGAATGAGCAGACTGAGTATATCAGCCGGTATGGAGTTCAGAGATATGATGCACGAAATCAAAAGTACTATGTCACGATCGTAGACAAAAGTGAGATCGGAAAGTCCACGGCTGAAGACTGGAATGATATCAACAATACGGAGACAGAGATTAAATTGATTCATATTCCTTCTCTGCAAGACGAACAAGAAGACTATGGGGAGTTGGTCCAGTTCCACTTCTGTTGTTATTCAATACCAAAAAACCGAGAAGCCGGAAAAGCCAAAAGAACACCTCCTGTTTACTCTTGTATCAGAACTTCGAAGAAACAAGGCTTTCAACTGGTCACATTGTCAAAGTTCGAGACAATTGACGCCAAGGCAAGGGAATATGTGCGAGTCTCCTACGAAATAATTGGCCGGCCGAATCCGTGGGAGACAAGGTCAAAGAAGGTTAATGTGGTTGATCAGGATTGTCATGAGCCCATTGAAGACAGGACGAGATCTGGGGGGATTGTTGAAATCCCCCGATCGAAGGATTCGCCGTCCAGTGGTATGGGAATGAACAGTACGGGGCTAAATGAAGATACTGAAAGCAAAATACGTCATCTTATTCGTAAGGAAGTGACAATTCAGACTGAAGAACTAGGAAGAAGTATGGACAACCGGTTTAAGGTCTTCGAAGATAACATCAAAGACATGTTTGAAAGGCTTGTATCTCCAAGGCAACTTCTTTCTCCGTCGGAAGATGACTAAATATGGGTAATTCCGAATTCCGAAGTATGTCAGGAAATACGAAGACTTTTATAACTCATGCGGTTCCCCTGAGATTATAGACGTTACCTGCAGTTGTTGCCTTGATGCATTCAATAAAACAAGATTGGTCGACACTTGTGCTGCTGTCAATTTTCCTTCGCGCTTTTTTTCAAATTTTTAGGTAGTAGAATGAATACAAATAATATAGTTTTTAGGTTTTCAGCTAATACTTGATATCTGTCAAAGGCTGCTAGCTGCAATAAGTGTATCAAGATAAGAAACTCTTCCAAAATACGGACATTTGGTACAGGGTGTGTGTGTGTGTGTGAAATCATTTACCCTGACCCCTCGCGAGTTGATTTAACCACTAGACCAAAATACGAATCCGTACCCAGCCTAATGGGTTGTGGTTTAGAATCCAACTTCGCGAACGATATGCAGGATACGACTACTATATATATCCGTGTACGTACATGTAGAGTGTTCCACTTCCTGAAAATGAACTTAGAGCCTCGTCAAGGCCTGTCGTGGCCTAATTGCCCTTCCCATTGTTAGGCTGCCCCGGTGGCGCGCGACTCCGAAACCGTTGTGACGCTTCGGCAAAGTCCAGCACGGCCTTGACCGTCCTGGCTCGCGAGACGGTGTCTGGTTTACCTTTCTCACCTTCAGTTGAGCCTCCCAGCAGGCTCGACACACTATTAAACGCGTCTCCAACTTCTCTCCTTAGCTCTCTCCGCGGTTCCCTCAAGTTTGGGCAATCCACCAGCACATGGGTGACTGTTTCTTGTGCGCCGCATGCGCACTGGTCGTCGTCACTATAACCAACATTCTTGCGGTAGCTGGATAACCAGTTGTGGCCCGTGCGCAGCTGCGTCAAGAGGTACGCGCGGTTTCTCGGCAGGTTCCCGTATAGCCTCCTAGTGTAGCTTGCTGGTAGGGTGTTATCGGTCTTTCGTAAGTGACCACCTTTGGTAGATGAATTCCATTCTTGTTCCCACTGAGAGTAGATGTTCCGACGGATGAACGCCCTCTCTCTGGTGAGGAGCGGGCGGAAAGGATGGGTTTTGCCTGGGCTGGCTGCGTCCTTTGCTAATCGATCTGCAGCGTCGTTTCCAGGATTGTCACAATGCCCTGGCACCCATTGAAGGCGGAGTGCGATTCCCGCCGCTAGAACCTCGGCGCCAGCCTGGAGGATTGCGTGAACGATGCGTTGTCCTGATCTGATTCTCGCGCTTTGAACCGCCTGCAGGGCGGACCGGCTGTCGCACAGGATCGTCGCTGTCAGTTGCCTGTCTGCTGTTCTCAAGTGTTGGTGGGCGACCTTGAACACTACACTGATCGCGTAGAAGATGCCTATAAGCTCCGCGACGTGGACAGACCAGCGGCTCATCGGTCCTACTTGGACCTGTTGCGCCTCGACTATCTCTTGGTTGTTGTCGAGTGCTACAGCGGCGGCGCCTAGGTGGTCCTGTTGACCAGAAGCGTCAGAGTAGACAACAACGTCGGATGTCGAGCGAGTGGTCTCGGCCTTCTGTGCCGCTGTCTCGCGATCAGACCCGATCTCAATCTCAGCGAAGGAATCGAGACGCCACGGCGGTAGTGGTCGTGGATCGATGATTTCCAATTCGTTTAGCCTGTCGATATTCATGGTCTTCATCGCTTCCGCGAGCGGGAAGCGAGCGTACGAGCCGACATTATTCCTGGGTTTCTGGACTCGTGAGAGCGCACTCCAGATGGGGTGATCCCGTGGTAGAGTGTGGAGGCTAGCGATGGTCCTCTGGGCTCGGTGGCGGAGACGCAGGTGGGTGGGGAGAACGTGTGTTTCCACTTCCAAGGTCGTCGTGGCCCGAGTCCAGCATGTAGTGACAAAATGTAGAAACCCCAAAAGAAATGAGATTGGCTAAGAGAGAAACCAAAGCTGCGAGCTTATTGTTTCTGTATGAAGGGCACTGAGATACATGGTAAATAAAACAGAGCAGGATGCCACTTCCACATAAATGGATTTTCGGGTCGACAGAGGCGTTGGCGTAGATGTGCTTATACCGTAATGCGCGGCGGGTCTTCGAAAAATAATGGCTGGCCTCCATGTCGGGGAAATTATCTGTCGTTTGCCTTTTTTTAGGCAACTCAGACAAACAATAAAGCTTTTTCAAGTACAGGGGCGAAAGGTCTTTTAAACCGGTCGTTGAACAAGAGGAAGGAAAATACGCCCTTGGGAAATACATCTTCTTCTCTTCATCTCTCTTAGCAACTGAAGTACTTTAAATTGAACACTACCTTCCCGAAACGTGCGAATATATGGGTTCTCAGAGTTGTGCGATCAAATAAACAGCCCGACGCATGTTGCACGTTTGACTTCTATTTTCATATTATTGCCTAGATCATAATTAGAGCTCAGACAGGCTCTATCAACCATTTGTTATGTAAAGTATGAAAGGATATGAATTGTTTTCTAGTTTAGCCTGAGAATCTATTCAATAAAGTAAAGTCTAACAGACATGACCCAGTGAAACTTAGTAAATCGCAATAAACTGGCCATCTCGGAATCAGTTTCTCCATTTTGTTCGAAACGGGTATAGTCTCTATTTAGATAAGAGGTCAGTTAACATCCACTTATGAACTACTATTGCTTACAGCTAGACGGATTAATATAAGGCCCGTAGCGGGTACGAGCCGAGAAACGGATCGTCTGTGCCTGAAGGATAAATTGTTTTTCGAATTCTACTGTACAGCGGTTTAAGATTATGCGTACGGTTTTGAGCCTTTACTAAGTCGATTTGGCCCCACGAAATGGCTCAACCTAACGAAATTTTGTTCAACAAAACCAGCGAGCGACTTTCTCTGCATCACATCGTTGCTCAATTGACCCCGTAGAAATATTGTCGACATGGAGGTGATGAGATGTTACCACCATGCAAACTGTTCTCGGAATCCGTCCAGGCTTAGCTCGTAATTGCTCATCTATCTTGTTGGGCCGCCTAGAAGCGAGATTAGCGCTACTCACGGACCCGCCATCGAGCCACTGAGTGATCGGGGACGAGGTGCGTCGGGCGTTATCGCATTCGGGTCTAGTTAGGATTAGCCCAGAAGACCACCAATCACTCCAGTCCGTAGACGATGTCAGCAGGGACAAAGGGACGGAGAGCCCAGGTTTTTTGGACCGGAGGTACGAGCAGAATAGCCATTGGAAACGTAGAAGGTCCGTAGCACAGTGGATCACCAAGCCCTGTTCTTTGTTCCCGTGCTACTAACCTACGAAGACCATCGTGCCCTTTCGCCAACCACAGCGCCTACAATACTTTGCGGCGCAGAAGCTGACCAGGGGGCCTGTGACAACTCTGGCCCTAGCTTCCGGGGGACCAGATCCGGCTGGGAACGGGGCGCACGGACGGCAATATGGACGCACCAATGGGCCCTGCCTGCAGTGTTGGGCGTTGACAACCGGGATTGGCTGAAAGGCGAAGGGTACCTGGTAAACCCCACTGAATCCCACTCTCCCGCGGTCGCGTTATTGAAACCGTTTAATTTGAAATTCCTGCTGCTACAGGTTCAACCAGAGATTAGGCTCGATCGCGAGACGGACAATGAACCGTGGTTGATGTTCTGTCGGTTCGGATTTTTTGTACCTTTGTTGCTGCATGTTAGGTCACAGGATCCAGACTCAACCGCTGGAAAAATAGGAGGCCCTGCTCGAGGTAAGTCCGTTCGCAGGCTTTGACTTGACATCCATGCTGTTGCGGGCAACCTGGTCAAGTCCGACTCCCGAATGGGCAGGGGGTCCCTGCTGCTGCAGGTATCCTGGTTAAATTCAACCACCGAACGGATAGGGGGGCCCTGCTGCTTGAGGCACCCTGGTCAAGTCCGACCGCGGAACGGGCAGGGGGTCCCTGCTGCTGCAGGTATCCTGGCAAACGTCCAACCACCGTAGTGACAGGGGGTCCCTGCTGCTCGAGGCACCCTGGTCAAGTCCGACCGCCGAACGGGTAGGGGGTCCCTGCTGCTGCAGGTATCCTGGTCAACGTCCAACCACCGTAGTGACAGGGGGTCCCTGCTGCTCGAGGCACCCTGGTCAAGTCCGACCGCCGAACGGGTAGGGGGTCCCTGCTGCTGCAGGTATCCTGGTCAACGTCCAACCACCGTAGTGACAGGGGGTCCCTGCTGCTCGAGGCACCCTGGTCAAGTCCGACCGCCGAACGGGTAGGGGGTCCCTGCTGCTGCAGGTATCCTGGTCAACGTCTAATCACCGTACTGATAGGGGGTCACTGCTGCTCAAGGCGCCTGGCCAAGCCTAACCACCGAACAGATAGGAGGCCCTGCTCTTTCATTTGATACCCCTGCCTCTGCATATTGACCCGCAAATTTGAACCTCCACCAGTAATTAACTACAAACCTTTCTTGATGCAATTCAACTTCTGTTCATCTATGTGGTCACTGCTCTAGCGGCCGGCACGCACGAACTGAAAGGCTCCAATGCAGGATCCTCGCCGGGTACATTTTGCCTACTGTTTTATTGCTATACGTATCCTGATACGCACCGAGCACATACACCAACCATCGCTATTAATCAGCAACTAAGCTACACGCTACTACTTAATTCCCCACAATTTCGGAGAACAAGCGCAAGAACTCACATGGAGCAGCCACACTGGGACGCTAAGCCCTCACCTCATTAGCTAGCTGGTACTTCGAGCGCCCCCACAAATGTACTCATTGCCCAGTAGAGCTAGATCGGGAAATGACACCACTTTACTTGCATTCAGCTTGGGAGCTTGGTACACCGTACCCTTGCTCTCGCATGTTGAGTAAGGTCCCCGTCACTGGACAGACAAGGGTGTCTGCCGAACTCACTCGCAGAGGGCTGGCTCCTGCGGGGTACACTAGTCAACACTGAGATAATAGAACAACTATAACTATGCCACATGAAAAATGTCCCTCCAAGTTGTGTCTGAGCTATCGGATTCTTCAAGTTACAAAATCCAACGTCCGGTTTGATTTGGTTCAAGCTTAGGCTATAGACCACCCAGTTGCCAGTCTACCACAATTACATTTCCACCCTTCTACCATGTCTCGGCGCTGCATTGCTTGGACTAATGACGAATTACGCTCTCTTGTCAATGTCGTATCGTTTCATCGCTTGCTTTCAATACCCTGGCCACAAATTACCGGCAACTGGAATGAAGCTTTCAATGTTCAGCGCACGCCCGATGTACTCCGCGCTAAATACTTTTCCTTGATACGAAGAGATATAAGGTACGTAGGAAGTGCAACTACTCTTGAGTGCTCGTCTAATTTCTGAGGATTCGTCTAGCAGAAGTGCTCATGGCATTTGACTTGTGATATGAGGTAGGTGCAGATCAGGCCGACACTGATGCTTTGGGTTTTTGAAATGCGGCCGGATGGACGAGGAGACTTCGCTCTAGGGAAAGAATCCTCCCGAAGGCGTCGACGATTATATTGTCCACGCAATGACTCTAAAGACGTTTTCGTTTCAACCACTTATTCTATAAAGCTGTTCGTTTCTTCCACGAAAGATTCGGTAACTTCTTGAGTAATGGGTTGTGGGAATCTAATTCATCATCATCCCACTGCGACTTGTGATACAGTAGAATTCGAGAACTGTTTACCCTTCACGCACACACACTTTATTTCTCGGCACGTACCCGATACGGGGCTTATCTACATCCGACCAAGCTGTAAGTAACAGTAATCTATGAGTGGATGTTAATTTACCACTTATCCGAATAAACAAAAATCCCGTTTCGGATACGAGCCGAGAAACAAGTTGTGTGTGCCTAACGGGCACTGTAAACTGTTTTCGGATTTTACTGAGTAGAAACTAGGAACGCAATTATCCAATAGCATGTGTGTGTTGTCTTGAGGCCGATTCATCTGGCGCTGACAACCAAGATGACCGATTTCTCGGTCGAGAACAGGCCAATGTTCAGTCGGTATGAATGTTATGTCAGAGAATTGGCTTTGGGTTGGCTTTGAAGAATATAATAAACTGTTTGAACAGATCAATGCAATTGTTTCATGAACTTTGCTTGCCAAGTTACCCGTATGTTTCTGGTGTTAGCCAATCAAGTAACGAAAAATTAAATTATAAATTTGGTCGCACCAACGGCACGAAAGGAGAATATTTCACTGGATCTTCTTCGAGTTGTGAGCAACTAGGCTACTAGCGCGGGGTCCAGAACGGTCTTGTGGTGATTTCGAATATCACTGTATACGGTTTGGCACCGTATGTGATTAGGGTATGACAAAGCTCCTCTCTGTTGTTCGACATGGAAGGCGAAAACAGTCCCTACTGTAGCATCTAACCATTAAGGCTCAAGCTGAGTGCAGCCTATTACCTATCCTCGTATAAATTGAAATTGACCCAGCGTTGCTCTAGTTGTTCTGGATAGCAACTAAACTGGTTTACCACGATCTTCCCCTACCTCAACTTAGCACTGTTTTGTTTATGTTGAGCCTCTCGGCCGTGAATAGAACCGAACATGTTCTCAGGTTCAGGCTAAGATTGTTGACATCGGGGATTCGACCGTTGTAATTGATGGGGGTTTATGAACAGGTGATGCTTTCATCTGCATCTCGAAAACCAAATCAATAGCGTTATTTAACACAGCGAAAATTAGATTCTGAAGCCGTTACAAACTATTAGACAAGAAGGGTTGTGTTCAAGATGTTTGTGTTACAAGACGGGCTTGTGAAATAAAGATGCCCTTGGTTTAATTACATCCCAATGAAAGATGCCCTGGGTAATCTCTCAGAAAGAAACGTGGTCCGCCCTTTCTCCTGAATTCACTAATTTGATCCCTACGTCTGTCTCAAGAAAATATGGATTGCTGTCCTGTATGAGTGTATAAAATTTCAATTCGAGACAACCCAATCTATACTTGATTATCACGCTTTCTGGTCTTGATTTGATGCTACAAAAGGTTGATCACTGCCAATCATAATAGACGCAGATCACTATGGATACAGAATTCCTCTACCACATTCCAGCTGGGCTGGATAGCATTCCGGAGCTATCGGAAGAGGAAAACAGCATTAACATTCAATCGACTGATGACGAATATGAACCATCTTGTTCAGAAACCGAGTCTGACAAAGAATTCGTCGTTCCAGATGACATCCAATTAACCAAGCCGGAAGATGATTCTGATTATGAACCTCCTGATTGCGATACCGAGCAAACCACGCACGCTTCGGATGAAAGCGAGGTCAGTCATCCATTGAAGCTTGGAAATATATCACTAATATCAACCAAGGATGATACCCTCAATTCAGAGATATTGGATAGAAGAAAGGTTTACCGACGACGACGGTCAGTCACTCAATATCAGATCAAGATATGGGTTGATGGAGAACACATCGGCTTTTTGTTTGACTGGATGCGAGCCTTTCAGGAAGCGGATAACGAGAGCACACATTTGGCAGGTTAGCCTAAATTTATGGAATGTTGGTTGGTGGAAAATCACACAATAGTTTTAATAGTGTTGAAGGACCCGTTTTTCTCATGATATAGCGTCGTCATCTTGGTAGACATCACTCATTTAATAGACCCATCGTGCTGTAACATGCGTTCTGTGAAGCTCAAAGGCCTCGCTTGGTGAAGTGCAAATCTCCACTCTGGATACCGGCTTGGCAGGAAGCGCTAACCCAAAACAATTTTGACGATTCCGCGCGGAACTGTCAAAATTGTTTTGGGTGAGCGCTCCGTAATATGCCATGCAACTTAAAGAACTGCTGCATTGGTCCCTCTCTTTTCAGGAAGACATCCTTGCCTTCATTTTCATCTTTGAACCTACCATGGTTAACCAGCAAAAAATGGCCAAGGCCAATATTGGAAAAATTGATTGCGTCAAATTGGGCACCGACAACAGCAGCTTACGAATGCATTGCAGAACGAGATCGAGTTTATTCAAAAGCTGTGTGGTTTTTATAGATCTGAACGGGACTACTTTCGCGACGAGCTTGACTGCTACATACCCGCGACCCAATTGCTATCGAGACCACCGACTCCACAGCTTATCGCATCTACTTCATCTTAAACCACGAGTCCACGATATTACCGCCAAGACAGGGGTTCAGGGGAAAAAGTAACCGTAAAAGGCATAGCGTGTTTCAAAACAGGGTTTGAGAAAGGATCTCTATGTCCAAGTGGTGAAACTGATTTCGATCCATCCTGTATATCTCCCATCCTGTAAGAAGGCAGAGCGTACTCACCCGCTGTATTCACCCCAGAGCACCACGGCACATCCTGTAGCTTCTCGGGTATCTAGTCAGGTCCAAAGCATCCTGTGCCGGAGAAATTGTTGTGAACCGAACGGAAGGGATGGCGGACCCACATGCGGGAGGGCCCGAGCCCCCTCGCCCAACCGCGCCAGGAACGACAACGACCGACGCGTTGGACAACCTTAACTCGACCACCGCGCCTCGGACAAGAAGACAGGCCCGGCCTAGTGATGGCCACACCACCGCAGCGCGCCCCGAGACCTCGAGCTCCGGAGACAACAATGGACGCGTCACGACCCGGGCAAAACACACCCCTTCCGCCCGTTGCTGACAAGGACGAAAGCGCTTATTCGCGACAACATCCGCGCTCAGTGGGGGCCGGAATGGGAATCATCCACCAAAGGCGGTCACCTGCGGAAAATCGACAATACTCTGCCGGCGGCCTACACCAGGAAGCTTTACGGGAACCTGCCCAGGAACCGGGCGTACCTGTTGACACAGCTACGCACGGGCCATAATTGGTTATCCACCTTCAGGAAGGCCATTGGCTTCCGCGACGATGATCACTGCTCGTGGCACTAATTTCTCTATATTGGGACTAGCGCATGTAGGACCTGCTCGGTATACAGTAGTTTTCGAAATTGTCGAATACTAATGGACACAAGGTATAATACCCAGAAAATCATGTGACAACTGGTACCAAGCATACCATACAAAAGTGCATAATACAGTTAGTCATCGATGTCCGCACAGATTGTTGAAAGAGCGGGTTCTGTCATTTTTAGTTAGAGATTCCAATATATCTGTTTTTGTCCATACAGTAGAATTAGAAAACAGATTACCCCTTATACACTCACGCATTCTTTCCCAGCGCCCCACTCAGATCGCGCTAAACTGAATTCGGCCAAGGAAAGTCTTCACTATCTTTTCTCGATGTATTTCTGGTAAATCACCAAGATTACCGTAATTACAGTTTCCGGCATTGGGCAGACCATGCTTGCCGGCGCGCCCCGCGGACCTCACAAAAAGAGGTGATTATCAGACCATGCGTTAGTTCCGCCATACTAGCAACATAATTCGATCTCGCATGCCCATTTGTACAGGATGGATCGAAATCAGTTTCAACACTTACAGAGATTCATTCTCGAGCCCTTTTTCGAAACACGCTGTAGCTACCACGGTTAGTCTACCCTAACGCCTTTTTTTGGCAGTTTTCCAACACAGTAGTGAAAAACAGCACAAAATAGCCTCCGTAATAAGCTTTCGGGGCTTCTGGAATGCCGAGCCTGCAAACAAGGCAAACAAAGGGGGAATGCTGGGTGTTGTAAACTGCACGTGACTTGACAGTCTCGCAGTTCCTGGGAGCTTGGGAGCCATCGCAAATCATGCTGACGTTAGATCGGTAGCAAGGCAGAAATTCAGTTGCCTTTTCATCGCCTTTCACCGCCAGCAGTTATTATCCCACACCTTCCAGACTCACGAAATCATTCCATCCCTCAAAATTCGTACGACTCAAAAACACTTTTGCAACTTCATCGCCATGTCTTTCTGCACTAAAAATGTCGTTGTTGGGCTCGACGAAACAACCACAATAGGATCACTATCATTCGATATCATATCAATAATTCTCCATATCCTCGATCGCCCTGCTCTCAAATCACTTTGTTCGGTCTCCCAGCGTTTTCGAGATTGGGCGCAGCCCCTCCTTTTCAGAAAATTTCTGTCAAGTTTTACATTTGAAAAAACATTGATCCGGCTGCAAGCATTTGTGAATGCCCTCAAAGAAAACCCGTCTCTTTATGGAGCGATCCGCGTGATCGAACTCACTACCCTTCAACGCAATATCCCTGACACCGCCAAAATTGCTCTCTTACTCGGCCCAATACTCACTCAAGCCCCAAATATTTGCAGACTTGCCGTCCCAGTTGACGAATATACTTTGGAATCACTTCAAAACGCCGTATTCCCATGCCTACGGGACTTTTCAGGCATTGATTATAGCAGCTGCTCAAAAACGTTATCCCAATTGCGGCCGTTTACGCTTAGTCCAGCGTTATCGTCAATCTATCTATGTGGCCTTTACCAGAACAAGGCTTTCGAGTTACCTGGTAAACTGAACCTCCGCCATATCTGTTTTATGCGCAGTCATCTAAGCTACGAAGCTATTCACGGAATCCTCGAGATCTGCCCATATCTACGGTCTTTTGAATATATGCACCCTGCAACTTACATTCAAAAAGGGACCCACTTCACTCCAGACCAGATCACCCAGTTTCTTTACTCTTCTAAAGACAGCATTGAGAGTCTTAGCTTGAAATTTCCTTATGATAATGATGATGATTGGTCTGATGATGAAAATTTTGCCGAGGAGCATAATGAGTATATGACCACTAAGGGTGTTGAGATCGATCAGTACCTTGGTCCACTCACAAGCTTCTCCACTCTAAAATATCTGTCGGTGGACCAAAATCATTTATCTAGCGAAGCGGTACTGCCTGATTGCCTAGGAAAGTTGGATCTTAATCTGCGAGATCCTCTCAGGATCGATTTAATTCGCCACTTGGCTCGCGTCAGTCATACTATACTGTCACTGCAATCCATTCAATTGAGAATTGATGATTACAATCCAACCAAGCCCGGCTCATGATCGCTGTAACGCAGCCGAAAAGGGCCTCTTTGAGAAGTATTATCACTGCCGCAGCGGGCCCTAGTGTAGCTTTAAACAAAACAAGACCTATTACGATCGGAAAAAAGATATCTTCGAGCTTAGGTAATGGAAATATGCTAATTTATCGCATTTACTATGTGTTTTCGACTGCGCCGCTCGCTTGTGTGCGCCGCTCGCATCTGGAATACGTTACAGTTTCCAATTTATCACGCCGCTATTGGATTCTGGAAACAACGCGTAAATAGCAACTAGAACTTTCAGTCCATTTTAGATCTGAATGCCAATATTGTTAAAGCGTTAATTGTTCTGTTTAGGTTGTTGTAGCGAAAGCTGCTTGGCTTTCTCCGTAATTTCATCCACCTCGGTAGATTTCCCCGGCTCGTACATAAACTGTTCAATGATCGACTTCATACCGCCAGTTTTCCAGACTATAGGATCGCGAGGTCTGAGGCCCTGGTCCAATACCTCCTTTATCAGTTCCCGCCAAACATCAGCATGGGATTCCTTCCAATCTTCGATAAAAGCTTCGGCTTGGGCCCTCGTTCTGAACTTTTTGTGACAAGAACCGGGCTCTTTCTGAACTTCTTTCTCAGCACCGCATCTTCCGCTAGTAATCGCAAGTTAGCTATGATGCTCTCGTAGCAGGCGGCTGCAGTGCCTACCGGTACAAATCATAGATACCAGGGTTTACCCCATTAGCAACCGCATAGAATCCTTTTCCATTCAAAGGTGCTGTTTTTCCTGCGTCGACCTTCATTACCTCCTTAGCCTGGGTTGTACCCATCTTGTTCATGTAGGTGCGGGCTTCTCCGAGTGTTTCAAAGGCACCGTGCAATGAGGCACAGCCTGTCACTCGAGGATGTGCGTCTCCCCTGCCACTTCGGTTAGGACCGATCATACCTGCGATTTCAGACAGCATAGTACCATGATGAAAATATTGTAGGTTCCTCTACACGCCCGGTAAAAACTGCGTAGTATTCATTATGTTTTGGCATGGCTTTTTGGACTCCACGAGAGGCAGTATTGCAAAGGCATTCAAAGAGACGAAGAATGTATTCGATATGGAGCTTAGGTCGTGGCAATGAATGCCAGTTCTTGAGAGGAGCGGGGTTAATTAGTGAGGCGGAGGCATACTACTCTCACAACCAATCAATTTCTGTCGTGGAGAAGGGAATTGTGCCTGTTCCAGGATTGCCATGTTTGCTCGTTTTGCATCGAATCCTCCAGTCCAGGCATTTACTTCTAGAATTTTGTATCTGCCATGCTGGTATTGCAGCTCCTGGTATTTATTACCTGGTTCGGTACAGAACTAATTATGTACGCGCTATCTACATATGGGTTAGCGTGTCATGTGATTAGGGTTTGAAAGATAATCTCTCTGTTCCCGACGCGGAAGGCAATACCGGCCGCTACTGTATGTGTGTGTGTGTGTGTTTCATTTACGCTGTCCTCTCGTCGAAGTTGGATCCCAGGTCACGTGATGTAGATAGATCTATAGGAGTGGCTGCCTGTTAGGCAGACACTCCGCTAGGCAGCAGGGAGATGAGCTGCTGCAACTACAAATAGCTGGATCTCTCAATATAGATCAAATCACACTTGTACCTCAATCCAGGTTCCAACTGTCGAAACGATATGCAGCCTACCACTACTATATATATCTTCCTATGTACATGTATCGTGTACCACTTCCTAAGCGAACTTAGAGCCTCGCCGAGGCCTGCCGTGGCCTCTGCCGTTGTTATGTTTGTGCTGCCCTTATGGCGCGCGACTTTGAAGCCGTTGCGATGCTTCAGCAAAATCCAAGACAGCCTCCACTGTCTTGGTCCGTGAAGCGCTGTCAATCTTACCTCTTCCTCCTTCTCCTGGTCCCCCCAACAGTGTTGATATGCTGTTGAAAGCGTCGCCAACCTTTCCTCGGAGCTCTCTCCTTCACATTCCCAATCTTGGGCAATCTAACAACACGTGGTGAACGCTTTCCCGTTCGCCACAGACGCACAGATCGTCGTCTCGGAATCGGAAAGCCTTTGCGTATGTTGACAACCAGCAGTGTCCGGTTCGCAACTGCGTTAATAAGTACGCTCGATTTCTGGGCAGAGAGCCGTAGAGCCGTCTGGTGTACTTGGCCGGTAGTGAGTCGTCGATCTGACGCAGATGGGCGCCGGTGCTCGACTCGTTCCATTCTTTCTTCCACTGGGCGTGGATCCCTTGTCTGATGTGTGCTCTCTCGCGTGATAGCAGACAGCAAAATGGGTGTGTTTTCCCCGGTGTGGCTGCCTCTTTGGCCAGCACATCGGCGGTGTCGTTCCCGGGCATTTCGCAATGTCCAGGTACCCACTGTAGTCGAATCGATGTGCCGTGTGTCTTGGTGTTCCTGGCTGCTTGCAGAATGGCATGGATGATCTGTTGTCCCGACTTGTTCCTGGGATTCTGGACTGCTTGCAGGGCCGACTTGCTGTCACTGAGGATAGTGACAGATCTCACCCGCGTCTGGGATGTTCTCCAGTATCTGAGGGCGACCTTGTTGATGACGTTGATGGCATACAGGATTCCAATGAGCTCGGCAGCGTGGACGGACCATCGATCCATGGGTCCAACCTGAACTTGTATGCTGTCGGATGTTTCTAGCGAGTCATTCAGCACGGCCGCTGCGGCACCCAGATGACCTTCTCGTCCCGAGGCATCCGAGTACACCACGATGTCCGCGGTTGACCGTGCAGCCTCGGCCCTTTCTATCGCGACCTCCCTGTCCGATTCAATCTCGATTTCCGAGAAGGCTTCTTTTCGCCATGGTGGTAGCGGGGTTGGGTCAATCATTTCGATTTCCTGTAGTCTCCAGGTTCATGGTTTTCAAGGCTTCCGATAGCGGGAACCGAGCGAACGATCCACGATTGTTGCGTCTTCTCTGGGCCCGACGTAGGGCGCTCCATATGGGATGTTTTGGGGGTAGGGTATGCAGTCTAGTGATGGTATTTTGTGCGCGGTAGCGCAGACGAAGGTGAGTTGGCAGTACATGTGCTTCTACGTCAAGAGTGGCTGTTGCAACCGTTCGAAAGGCAGATAGGACGCGGATGAGAGCCGCCCGTTGCACAGTACGGAGGTGTCGTAGATGGGTCTTGTCTCGAAGCGGATCATGCCAGACGGTCGAGGCGTAGTCGACAACCGGTGTGACGCACGCTTCGTAGAGCTGTCGCATTTGCTCTGGGCGGAGCTGTCGCAACCCCCCAAGCGCGATATTGACCTTGGTGGCTCGTTTAATGGCTTGCTGTACGTGTTCTTTCCACCGAAGCTCATGATCGAAGATTACCCCCAAGAGTTTGGCGGTCGTAGATGGCTTGATAGCATTACCATTCATGATAAGCTGGCCCTGGCTCTGTTCTTTTCTCTTCCGGGTGATGTGAATAAGTTCGGTCTTTTCCGCAGCGAAGCAGGACCCAGTTCGCCGGGCCTAGGCTTCGATCCGGGGGATGTCTTCGGACTGGATTTTGGCCAGGTTCCCTTCAGCGCTCCAGCCAACTCGCCAGCGGAAGTAGTCATCGATAAAGGCGGATGCCCCACCGTGAAAATCGACCGGCTGGTCGACCAGATCGCAGTTGAAGAATGCAAAGAGGATAGGTGACAGTGGAGAGCCTTGCGCGAGCCCGGCATTGTCTAGCGGCACCACCTCGGTTTGGTAATCGTCGAACCCAATGCTAGCCTGGCGCCCGCTCATGAAGCTCGCAATCCATGTTCGCGCTACCGAGGGGATACCCTTGCACTGGAGGCGAATATCCAAGCTTGTCTTGTTCACCCCATTAAAAGCTCCCTTCAGGTCAAAGGCCACCAGTGTGACGACCTTCTGTCTGTACCACGCCCGGTCGATTGCGTTAGCAAGCATCAGGAGGGCTTGCTCGGTTGTTCGTCCCGGGCGCCCTCCGAACTGAGTATCCGGTAGAAGACCGTACTGCTCCGCGAAGAAGGACAGCCGCCGGGCCATCACCGCTTCCAATAGTTTTCCGAGTGTGTTAAGTAGCGAGATCGGGCGGTACGCTCCCGGTAGCGAGTAGTCTGGCTTCCCGGGCTTCCGCAGGACTACAATTCGCGCGCTTCTCCATCGCTGTGGGTGGTATCCTAGTTCAATCGACGACGTGAAAATCCGAGTGATTATGTTTCCAAGATATTTCCAGAGACGTTTCCAGATCAACGTGGGCAGACCGTCCTCGCCTGGTGCTGTTGTGCCTTTGGCAGCCTTGAGCGATCGATAGATTTCAATCTCGGAGATTGGATGCCGTCGGATCTCGGTGGGGGCGTGAGCAGGCGCCTCCTCTTGCGCAGGCGCCATCGACGGGAAGAACGAGCCCATGAACGCCTGAGCTTTCTCCGCGTTGTCAACTAGCTCCCTGTCGCCGACTTTGAGGGCCGGAAGGCAACCCCAGGAGTCTCGTGGTTTCATGTACGTCGCTGCTTTCCATAGTTTCCCTTCACCGGCTTCGTCTAGGAACTGCTTCCAATGGGATACCTTGGCCTTCTCAATGGTCCGAGTCCATGCCCGCCGTGACCGGCGCATGTCCTAGAACATAGCCATGGTGCGGTAGTCGGCTCGTCCGACTTCAGCGCAGCTCTCTTGCCACTTGCGTCGTAGGCGTTTCACATCTTTCTGTTGGGCTTTAAGGTCGGCAGTGAACCACCGTTTGGAGTATGGGGAAGGTCTCAGATCGGGTGTGTGCTTGTCGACTGCATTCGCGGTCGTGTTTATAAGTCTCTCTACGACTGTGTCTAGCGCCTCGGCTGAGTCTGGCTCCCCGGGTTGCTCGAAGAGCCCCTGGACCTCCTTTCCAATCTTCTCCCAGTCCGCCCGGTCGTACGCCTTTCTCGTCTTGGTGGTGGGGTTGCGCCGCGCTTGGAGGTACCATTCTGAATAAGTGCCTCGGTGATCTGAGCCATAGTTGTCGTGGTAGAGGTGGCATTTGATGAGTAGGTCTGGTCTGTTCGTCACCGTCTGGTCGATCGTGGAATTTCTCCCTGGGTGGCTTAACGACCAGAAGGTCGCGGTTCCCCGAGGGAGGCAGCTTTGAAGGTCATGATCATGGAAGAAATTGATCAGTTCGCCGGCGTCCTCGATGAATCGAGGTTGAATGTGGTTGCTCCCCCATGCTGGGTGGTGGCGGTTGAAGTCTCCGGCCAAAATAAGGCTAAAGGTTCTGCCGTCGTCTCGTTTGGTGTTTTGAATCGTGTCGTGGATTGCCGATAAGGTGGCTTCCGCGGATGTTCCATCAGGCGTGTGCATCGGTACGGGCGGAATATAGACTGAGAAGATCAGGATTTGGGAGTCGGCCGTCCAGATCTTGATCGCCGTCAGATCCGGGTGGTTGCATCTCACTTGTCGGTGAGAGGAGGTTGAGAGCTTGCGATTGACATAGATAAGGGTTCGGAATCGAACCGAATCGCTCTCCACTGTAGGTTGATATAGTCGCCATGCGCTGTGGTTCACGTGTGTTCGGTAGGCAGTGATCGACGGTTCCTGGATAAGGAGCACGTCCAGTTTCTGGCTTTGATGGTCGTTGACGAGAGCTTCCATGCCCGCCCTCGATTTCATTGTATTTAGTTGTAGAATTCGGAGGTTGTTCTCTAACATTGCGTTAGGGGCGCCGGGGCTGGCGTCGGGCAGAGCAAGTCTCCAGTCGGATGTTCACCGCTGCATTCTAGGCAGCGCGCTCTGATGCCCGGAGGACATATTTCTCGCTCATGTTGGCCGCCACAGTGGCCACATTGGGGCGTCTCTTTACAGGACCACGCTAGATGGCCGAATCCTTGGCATCGGAAGCACCGTTTCTTTTTGATCTCACACTTTTCCACTCTTCCAATGTACCGTTGATCGATCAATAGACCATTGTCCAGCATCCACTCTGCTGCCTCTAATGAGTTGAACCAGATGCCCATTGAGGCGAACGTTCCCAGTTCTTTGTCTCTTTTCTTCAGCCAGGCTATGTCTTCGATTCGAAATCCGCGGTCTGTGAGGTCGTTCTCGTTTGCGACCTTTTCGATGGCTTCGGTTTTCCTGTTTTCGAGGTCCAGCCCAAAGGTCGGGATATGGTGAACGGCTACTCCGAAACGTGGCTCCACCAGTCTAGTGTCGTTGCCCAGCTCGGTCAGCCACTCAGTGTTGTTGCGGGCCGTTTCGGCCGACGCTTGGTTTTTGAATCGGATCACATATCCGGTCTTGGTAGTACCAATCCCCGCAACCTGTGCGTCCTGGGTGGATAGCGTCTTCGACAGTGCCGTCCTGATGTGGGCGTTCGCAGCCGGGGTGGGGAGGTAGCGGCCGAACGCGTCTCCGTTATTCTCTGCGCCCAGCGCTTCAGTGACATATCGCTGAGTGCTGATTCGGACGCAGTTCTTGTCCTTATCAGTTTGTCGCCGGGTCTCCCGGGGTTGCGGATTGTCCGTGCTGGCCGCAACGGCCGCCCATGATCGTGTCGGGGTTGGAGCGTTCCTCTCGTTTACCTGCGACCGTAGCGCTGCAATCTCTTCCTGTAGCTTCTCATTCTGAGATTGGAGCTCGTTCTGGTTATCTTTCACTTCTCTCAGTTCGGTCCGGGTGGCGTGAATGAGCGTGGTTTGCTCCTCGATGGTGTGTTGCAGGTGTACGATAATCTGCCAAATCTCTCTGGTTGTCACTCGTCCAGTGCTAGTTCCGGTATTGGTCAGTTCCACGGGTTCCGGGGCCGCGTGGGTCTGCTCGCTTTCCACTCGTGCATGTCTCCTGGTCCGGACCGTGGTCGTTGGTGCAAGGTTTTCCGTTACGTCGATCCCTGTGGAGCCCCCGTGGGTGGGTCCGCCATTCCGCTCGGCACACAATCACAATAAAATTATCACCACTAACTTTCCACCAAGGTACAGCGATTTTTCGATCGTTCTTCTCTTCCCGCCGGATACCCTTGAGCTCGAGCGGTCGTGTGATCCGCGTCTTGTTTATGTACAGTCGAAAGGTACAGTCCCAGCGATACCCAGCGATACAGTCAGTAGCTACAGTAGTATTCGAAATCAGATTTACCTCCGCACTCTTCGACTTTAACTCCCGAACCCTAATCTGAAACCTGCTAGAATGCGCTCAACCTGGCAGCATTTAACGGCCATGACCAGGAGGTTAATTTTCTACTTGCTACCATGAAACAGGAGGTCAATACGACCGACGATGCAGGAGCAAACCCCTTGATGTGGGCCTCACGGAACGGACACGACAAAATCGTGCAGATACTGCTAGAAAGAGGAGCCGATATCAACACCCAGGGTGGAGACTACGGAAATGCGCTCTATGCAGCTTCTTCTAGAGGACACGATAAGATCGTGCAGATACTGCTAGAAAGAGGAGCCGATGTCAACGCCCAGGGTGGGGCCAAATCGACTTAGTAAAGGTTCAAAACCGTACGCATAATCTTAAACCGCTGTACAGTAGAATTCGAAAAACAATTTATCCTTCAGGCACAGACGATCCGTTTCTCGGCTCGTACCCGCTACGGGCCTTATATTAATCCGTCTAGCTGTAAGCAATAGTAGTTCATAAGTGGATGTTAACTGACCTCTTATCTAAATAGAGACTATACCCGTTTCGAACAAAATGGAGAAACTGATTCCGAGATGGCCAGTTTATTGCGATTTACTAAGTTTCACTGGGTCATGTCTGTTAGACTTTACTTTATTGAATAGATTCTCAGGCTAAACTAGAAAACAATTCATATCCTTTCATACTTTACATAACAAATGGTTGATAGAGCCTGTCTGAGCTCTAATTATGATCTAGGCAATAATATGAAAATAGAAGTCAAACGTGCAACATGCGTCGGGCTGTTTATTTGATCGCACAACTCTGAGAACCCATATATTCGCACGTTTCGGGAAGGTAGTGTTCAATTTAAAGTACTTCAGTTGCTAAGAGAGATGAAGAGAAGAAGATGTATTTCCCAAGGGCGTATTTTCCTTCCTCTTGTTCAACGACCGGTTTAAAAGACCTTTCGCCCCTGTACTTGAAAAAGCTTTATTGTTTGTCTGAGTTGCCTAAAAAAAGGCAAACGACAGATAATTTCCCCGACATGGAGGCCAGCCATTATTTTTCGAAGACCCGCCGCGCATTACGGTATAAGCACATCTACGCCAACGCCTCTGTCGACCCGAAAATCCATTTATGTGGAAGTGGCATCCTGCTCTGTTTTATTTACCATGTATCTCAGTGCCCTTCATACAGAAACAATAAGCTCGCAGCTTTGGTTTCTCTCTTAGCCAATCTCATTTCTTTTGGGGTTTCTACAATTTGTCACTACATGCTAGACTCGGGAAAGAAGCTCCCTTCCTTTTACCTCCTGTTGGACCACACTGGAATAATTCTGCACATATGGGCGACATCCGTATCGGTCTTGCTTTTAGAGGCTACTGGTAGTGTGATACGCAATTGCATTATCCTAGAAGTGACACTAATCGGGATTGTTTGTGCCACATATTTGGTAATCTGGCCAAGAGACAAGAAAGAACGAGTTCTGCTTATTGGGGCGTTTGGGACTTTAGCTTTATGCGCCGTCTCATTTAACAACGCTTTTTCGTCGAATATGTCTCGACTGACGGTATCCTATATCTTTACGGCTTTGATTAATGGCATGGGAGGGTGGTTCTACTCCCGTGGGTCGATTCAAGTACCGAGCCAGCGTTCACTCAAGCCCTGTACTGTGTCAGGGCATTTGTTGATGCACCTATGCTCCCTGATTGCGTCGATAGTTCACGCTTCAATTCTGGCTTCTTCTGTCTGTGGATGACAGGATTGAGTCTTCTTGTTTCACATAATCAAATCGCAATTATGAATTTAGCTCTTATTTTGACGGTTTGTACAGTAGCGACCAGTATCGCCTTCCATGTCGGGAACAGAGAGATCACATGACACGCTAACCTATATGTAGATAGCGCGCAAATAAGACGTTTTATACCTAAACAGGTAATAAATACTAAGTGCTTAAAATACCAGTATGGAAGATACAAGAGTCTAGAACTAGACGCCTGGACTGGAAGATTCGATGCAAACCCAGCAAACATCGAGGTCTTTGAGCAGGTAATCTGTCAACAATTCCCCTCTGCATCCCGCAGCTGCATTGCTGCAGAGTGCCCGATAGTGTTTGTGACTTGTCCGGGTCCAAATTGATAGGCAAGGCTTGACAGTAAGCTTATTCAAAATCTTCGCCACTCCTTAAGCTGGACTAGCTTCAGATTTTTTTGATTCAAAATATCTGTTTAAGGGCAATTAAATCATGTCAACGCTGTCGAACAGTTCAGACTTCATGCGAGAATTGCTCCTCCAAGGACAATTTTCTGACATGGAAATCATCTGTCAAGACGTCACTTTCAAAGCTCATCGTGCTATTGTTTGTACACAATCAAGGTTCTTCAATAGCGCACTCTGCGATGGCTTCAAGGTATAAGTAGAAAGGTTTTGATAAATAGCTCAGTTACTTACTTTCCCAGGAATCTCTCGACCGCTCCATCAATTTAACAGATGAGACACCAGAGACAATCGAACGTGTTCTCTCTTTCCTCTACTTGAGGGAATACCAGGATGATGGGCATGCGGTTCTACTCCAGCCTACTGCAGATCTCATTCCTTCCATTGATGCTTCAGACTCAGTCAGTCAAGGGGATAAATCCGACAATACGGAAGCTTTGAAAGCAAGGGCTTTAAACAACATATTGGTGTTCACCGCCGCTGATAAATTTCAAATCGATCCATTGAAGAATCTAGCCTCAGAGAAGTTCTCAAAATGGGTATCTGAAAATTGGGACTCGCCCATATTTTCCGAGGTAGTTGAAGAAGCTCTAGCGTTGACTCCTTCTCATGAAACGAAATTGCAGGAGATTATCGCCGTGATTATTTCAAGTCATATATTCGAACTTATCGATAGAGCGACTATTCTCCCTGTCTTAAGTTCCTTCGGATGCCTTGGGTTACTGGTAATCCTGGATTTAGTCCAAAAGGGACGAGTCAAACAGCCGAGCGAATATGACGCCTTTCAGGGACTTGCTCGAAAACTCAACTCACGTCGTCATTGTCGGCATTGTTCAGCAGCATTGAACGTGAGAATGGAAAGTGGGGAATACCAGATTGGAACTTTTCGTTGCGCCGCCTGTCATACACGACATTAGCTACCGCATATGTCCCAGGCCATACTGTACTTATTATTTATATTAAATTGGGTTACACACGACAGCAGTCTGGCTTAGCAGACGGGACCAATGACACCGAAGAAAGGCTTTTAGCTCCGCAAAGAACTCTTCAATCAGGATCAAATCAGGGAGTACGGGGGCAAATAGACGCGTTTGACTCACTTATCAAAGCACAGTTGCTATATTCTCTCAGAACGATGGAAGATGCATTGTCTATGCTGAGAACTGACTTGGGCGCGAGTTATTTTTCTCAATTATGGAGGAGTTCTTCGAAAAAATCTTCAAAGAATGAAGCATCTGTCCCTCCTCGGAAGACATGATAAAGTAGACTCTGATACCGTTGCTTGTGATGGAATCTTGACATTTGCACAGATGTATAGGAGACCAGCCACTTCTGATGATCCTATCCGCTTATCAAATCTAGTTTCATGTACGGAAAGGTGGTTGGTATGAGCTGCATTCTGAGATAGGATGATAGTAATTGTGGCGTAAATCTGGGTTGCGCTCTTTTGCTTTCCGCCGAGCTGTCTTCTTGGACCACCATATACAATGCAGGGCATCGCTAATCTTGGACTAGTATGGATACACCAGATTCATCAAGAAGGCAGAGCTCTACCTCATGAAGGCACGACTCCGGTGTTTCAAGTAAATGATCTCACAGAGTTTCCCGCATAACTGGGGTGATGCGCCGTGGCCGTCCGGCTTTGATAGGAGGAGCTTTGAAACTACCGAAAAAGCGCAGGTTAGACCAAATCCTAGGAATGGCTCGCTCGATGCAACCGGCAGCTGGCCCCACCTCCGAGCTACTTCATTCATCACTGCTAATCATATCACGAATCAACACGAGGGTTGACCTTGCTAGGTTAATCCCATGGTTCATTGCACTGCCAATGGAAGTGCCAACCAAGAAACCCCTGGTGAGATTTCGGAAATTGGACGCGGGGCACTCGGGTCGCAGCTTCTCGTCTTACAGGTGATAAACATTTGTGTCAACAAAAGAGGGTCGCAATTCTACTAGTGCGCCCGGAATATTCAGCACCCCCATCTGCCTGATGATCCTAAGGCTCCCAACGACCTTACTAAGCTCATCCCCTATTTATTCTGCACTTTCTATAGTATATAAAAAATCACACTCTCAAGTACTCAATTGGCTATGCCTGTCCTAGTCCGTACTGTAACGACCACGTTCCGACAATTTGCCCCGTTAATATGATAATCCGGTAAATTACAGTACATTTCTAAAACATATGAGGCTGACAAAGCTTTTCCAAGAGTAGCTTAGTGTATTTTAGCACTTAGGGTTTGGGGAATAAAGAAAGAGTGTGAAGGCTGACACCGATTTCCGGAAAATACTGTAGCGCTCTCCACAGTACCGGACAACCTTGCCAGCATTAATTAGCGGTCAGATATTGGCCGCTTTTACAGATTCAGTCTTCAAGACGCTGGGCGCTGGGCGTGGGAGGACACGTCATCACGTTAATGTGCTAGCCCACGCCTCTTTTGGCCACAAGCTTATATAAACTGCCTTCCACACAATCTGTTCTTACAAAAACCCTTTTGAAAGACATTTCGCGAGGTCTGGACCGGATCGCATAGATGTCATACAGAGAGTGGTACGAAAATTTGCTGGGCAAGTTTGGGTCGTTGAATGAATACATCGACGACATACACGCCAGACGCGTTGGTCGGGATGCTATTCTTGTGCAGGTCGGCCTCGAGAGGGAGGAAAATCTCAAAATGGAAGCGGTATTAAAGTGGATATCTGCCCGGATGGGTATTATTGGGCGAAGCAGGGTGCTGGAGCTCAAATCTGCGTTGTTTACGGGGATACTACCCATTGCCCGGGCTGTTGACATTAAACATGAAGAATATGTCTTGCGTGCGACGAGAATGGGCTTCCGGTCTTGGCTCGCGAGAGGAACAATTGCAGCGTGCAGGATGCCAAACTCATTGAGCGGCTTGAGTCTGGACCGTTACAGAAAGGACAAGCCGTTCTTGAGACGCCCGATTTAGATCGTCTTCTTGGGGAAATGTTGACGATGGACCGGAACGAGTTTTTTTGGTGTCATCTCCATGGATTGATGCACTTGGCGCCTGTCGAATATGCCGTTTTTGCAGCTCGCACGTCAAAACAGCTCGCACACCAGAATAGGAAACAAGCCGAAAAATTCCTTTGATATTTGAATCGGGTTCCCGCCCAAAGAGGACCGCAGATTAAGCCAAGCTACCATATATTTAGGGAAAATTTTCTGGAGCTCTACTTTTCATTACACCATCCATATATCTTTCCAGCAGCGAAACGATGTGAGATATAGCTTGCCCTATAGTATAACTGGGACATTTACTCATCTTATCCCAGAAACATGCTTGGCTCTGTCTCCTGGCAATGCGTTTGCTGCGTTAGCAAAGACACTCAATTCGTGAGAGTCAGAGCCATGAAGCACCAACCTGCATCTCAGTTTACGACACTTTTGCTGTTCCTACTTCCCACAAAGCGACATATCTGCATTCATACTATATGCAAAGAATGTGTTCAGACGCGACAGTTTGTGTTTCCAGACGAACAAATGAGCATGATTTGGAAGGCCAGAGTCCAGTCAAAATTCTCCAAGCCAATTCCTTGGAGAAAGCAAAGCTGGCATCTTTGGCTACCAAGCACGGAATGCCAAGAGATCAACGAACTGATAATGGATAGTGGAGAAGTCTGTTTCAGTATCTACATGGATACACTCTTACTGTAATATTTGCCATCACCTGTCTATTAGTTCAAATTGATATTACCTTAGTTTAATTTGGTTCCTGCTGTTCTAGGTTTAACTAGAGAGTGGGCTCTATCGCTGGACGAACGATGAACCGTCGTTGATGTTCTCTCGGTTCGGATTTTTGTATCTTTGTTGCTGCATGTTGGGTCACAGGATCAAGACTCAACCGCTGGAAACATAGGAGGCCCTGCTCGATGTGAGTCCGTTGGCAGGCTTTGACTTGACATCCATGCTATTGCGGGCAACCTGGTCAAGTCCGACCCCCGAATGGGCAGGGGTTCCCTGCTACTGCAGGTATACTGGTTAAATTCAACCACCGAACGGATAGTGGGGCCCTGCTGCTCGAGGCACCCTGGTCAACTATAATTGTTCTTCATTTTGATTATCCATCTCTATGTATACGTCAGACCCTCACACTTTCCAGGAACTTTCAAAGAGAAGGTGACTTGCTGCGACGGATCGTGAACTCCGGTATATGAGTGAAGGCCCCTGCACGCAAAAGAGTTTCTTGGGCTCCATCGTTCATGGGGCCTTGATAGATGGCGAGACACTAAAATACATCGTAGGGTGACGTATACCGTTGAACCTGGTGAACAACGGTATACGTCACCTTTTGCCTCAATACTACTGGTACTGTATGCCATTTCCAAGTTCCAAATATGTGCAATAAGAACTGATTGAATCCCCATGGATGGTAAAGTATCAAAATTTCTACCGGAAATCGCAATTATAACAAATTGTCTCGTTCGTTTAATCTTTTTGCCTTGAGTTCTCAAATTCACCCCGCGCTCATTCCCAATTTTGAGATATGGCAAATTTTCTTCCGGCTTTCGATTTAACAAGTAAAAGACAAGATTCGCGTACTGCCAGTGTCAAAGCCGTTCACCGGAGCTTCGTTGAGCTTTGGGTTGAGTGAGTAGCCACGATATGCTTTCTCAATTTCCCTGTTTATTGACTCCCCAGGTTTCTTGTTGACAGTGGGAGTGTTCCAGTTGGCTATAGGGTGGAGAAGGGATCTTCTGCTCCTGATATTACCATGATCAAAGAGTTCATCCTGTGGTGCTACACGTGTTCTATAAAAGGACATCTTCAACCCGGAAGACCAACGGTGATTGCTACTCTCGCGTGCGCGGAAAGGTTTTTCAGTGGGTTTGAGATAGCTACTGGGAACAGGGTTGCTGCAGAAGACCGTTCAGAGGTATACAGGGTTAGTATAGCAAGTTGCGAAAGTTGATGATGTCGGCCGGGGCTTACCTTTTTATAGTGGATCAGGTTAGACCGATTGGCCACTGAGGTGATATGAGGAGTCGCTGAAAGGCCACAAGTACATACTAAATGCTTGATTCTTTGTGTCAGTATACACCACATCAGGTGTTTCGGTTGTTCATCGAGCTTGACATTTGTCGTTACAGTAGACATCGAATGCCAAACCAAGCAAATTCGCGCATTGAAGATAATGATTTCCTGTTCTAACTGTAGAGTATGTGACCTCTCAAATAGCAGCCATGCATTATTCATCCATGACTAATATGGTGGCAATACGGCAGGGCTATGATTACCAACCGAAGAATGGCTTTGGATTTTGGCCGAGCGATCAATTCAATCTTTGCATTTTCTCCATCTGGGAATTCGGGCCGCATGGGATAATTGGTAGTCGTAAACAGATTCTCTGTGGACATAGTCGGATTGTTTCTCAGCCTGTACTGTATAGACAATGTCGATGATGATTTCATTTATCCCGGCCCCTCGCAAAGTTGAAACCCTGAATTCTCGGCGTTCACGATCTTTCGATCGTCAAGAGAAGCAGGATGAAACATGGTTGGGTACAACAAAAAAAGTGAACGGGAAGGTAGATGAAAAGGATTTTTTAAAAATAATTTGCGAGGTTGAATGAGGTAAGGGATTCTGGATTGCCAAGAGATGAGATTACTGTAATTTACACCAGCTCATCGAAGACAGATCCAAGTCTGGCGGAAGGATTTCTCAATGCGGACTAGTGCGCTTTAGGTGGAGCTCAGGAAAACAAAGAAAGAGAGATTGGAGTTAAAACTGATTTCGAATATCACTGTACTATCCACTGCTCCAATTTGGCGACTGGGAGGGAGGCCTGACATATGATAAGGATCCACCGGCCTGTATTCACTACTTGATTGAGTTGAAGGTTACCCTCAATACTGTAATCTAGTGCTTGGCAGGGGGGATCGAAAATCGCCGTACAGTCTCCGATTCCTTTATCGACATAGCTACCAATGTCGAGCTTAAGGCGCAAATTTACTTGCACCAAATAAGCTTCAATTAAGACTGTCTAAGTTACTATTTCCAGTTGTCGGATTATATAAGACTAAAATGACGTAGACTCTAGCCATCATGAGTGGTTCGCTCTAAGCAATCAAGCTAGCCGTCTTACCAGCCCACCCCTACCCAGGGTGGGCAAAAGGTATGGGGGCGGTAAGACGGCTATAGTATTTGGATGCGTACCCAAAAATTGCACCCGGATCTTAAAATTATGAGCCTTGAATGCTGCATATTTAACTAATACCCCAACAGAAAGTCAAATCTGTCTTTTCTTAGTACGTCGATATTCTTCATTCGGGGTACTGAAATATTTTTTGCCGAAGTTACTCGTGATAATGGCTGGCACACATATATTATTGCTGCTTGTCAGGTTACATGAATTCTGTAATAACATTTTCCTTTCCGCTGTATAAAGACGTTCTTTCATTCCCAATTGATTTTCAGCATAATCCAACAACATCTTTAATTGTTCAATTCACTGCTGAAATCCATCAAAGCCATGGGCAAGTTTCTGCATATTCTGATGCGTAAGAGATTGATTGACTTATTTGAAGCTGAGCACATCACGAGATTTACTGATTTTTATTATTAGCATGGAAACCTCAGGCTCATATAAAACATGATCCCAACAGATTTAAGCTCAAGGTCTCCTCCCCAGGGCTACCACAGACAGACTCCGACAAGGAGATATTCTTTCCGGACTGGACACTGAGGCCAGGATGGGTTTCTCGAGAGACTACAGATAATTATGGAAAGAAATTTATCTCCTTCAAGAAGAAGGGTACCGAGTCTCATCACTTTGATCCAAATAACCATTCCTTGGCTGCGATGAGGGGCAAGGAATTTGAGAAGGTCCCAAGTGACAATGGGTTTAAATACCGGAAGAGATCGACGGCTCCGGGATGGAATGACTATTATTTATATTAATTACGGTAAGGTAGCTGCATACCTTTCGTCTTTCGTGCATTCGATCCCCTTCTTCCGGACTTGGTCAAATCGTCTTGCCCTAAGATTTTTCTTCTCAGGACGAGCTCGTCACCGTCTTTGTATCGGATATAGCGTTAGTGAAGGGTATATAATGTTCTCTCACTTGTACCTATCCTATTAGTGATGGTCTGCCAAACTTGGACTTCATTTTAGATCAATTAATACTGTATCGTCATAGAGAACTAGCGTCATGTTACAGAATTCAATTTAGTTTCACCACATTATATCCTCCGCATATACTGGTCAGAACAAAGACGCCACAAACCCACATTTTTCGTACTGCCAGTTCCCAGGCCAGATGCGACGATCGCAACCAATATACAGCTGGCTGAAGTTTAGAGCATTCCTTCTCTGGTTGATAAGGATTGTTTTGTACGCATATCCGACTGCAGGAGATCTATCAGAAAAATTGATTGGACATTGCTAAAGCTGGGGCCACCAAATCGATGAAAAAATAATCAAATAGTCGAAAAAATAGAACTAGCAAAAATAAATTGTGGGGTAAGAAGTCGGCATTCCAGTCAACGTCTGGCAATATGGTCAGACTACACTCTTGCTTGTGTTTGAAATATTTATTTGTGTGTTATGTTCTTTAAAATCAACAAATTGGGTCTTTTGACTGCTACATAATTACTCTAACTGCATATAGAATATCAATCACAATATAGACAACCTGATTTGGGGGATAAACCTCAAAAATTTACCTCCATACTTCTAATTTTCCCAATGTGGGTCAGGTTGGCTGAGAATTCAGAAAGATTGGTTCGTCATCATCAATAAGAATCGTGCTTGAAGGGCTGGTCATCGTGACTTGAAAAGAAGAGAAGTCTAGCTAGGTGCTAGGTCCACAAGTTAGGAGGAAAGTAGAGATCTGACTGAGCTAGAGTTGGGCGCAATGCTCATTATATACCCGAGAGCCAAAAGTTCGAGTGGGCTACTGCTAAGGGACGATTGGACACTGCCTTTTGTGATCCATCGTGCATATGTATGTAACCCGATTAGATTGCACAAAACTGAACTAGCATACATATAACATTGAGTGCTTAACCGCAATAAGACTGTGACACTATGCCATCTACGGGGCCCGAATCGGCCTGTTGAGGCCGCTCGTCATATCGGTTGATTTGGCCAGTGATCTCCTACCATGCTATTTCTTAGCTATATCCTGATCCTCCTTGGGTCCTCGGAACATACTGATCGGCATGCTCTTGCCTTTATTATGATATCAATGGTGATGTTAGGTGACAACCCTCCCGCGAGATTCCGTCGAGGATTTTCAGGCTTTCCCGTGTTCCAAATTAGGCCAAACAATTCCAGCGCTTTGGTCGTACATACCACCCCGTACAGACGCGCTCGAAATCAGTTTCACCACATTACTCTCTTGCCCAAACTTAAACTTGAAACACGCTAGTCTATGTTTGGTTTAACGAATTTCAAATTCTTCTCACGATTTAGCACCCCAATACAGGATGGATCGAAATTAGTTTCACCACTTAAACACAGATATCAAAACCTCTTTCGAAGCACGCTATGCCTATTACAGTTACATAACCCATAGCCGCTTTCCTTGGCAGTATCCCAGTACAGTTGTAAATAAGTGCACAAAAATAGTTTCCGTAAATCTGGATACACACACACACACACACACAATTTATTAACGCCCGGCGGCTAAGCCGAAAGGGCAACTATCTCTGATCTACTATACACGTCATAATATATATAGTACTGTGTCTCCTCAGAGCCCATACATAAAGCCTTGTAATATATGTCATCTCAGATGTCCGTATCGCAGCGGATCCTCGTGGGTTAGTAATTTTGTTAGTAGGCTGGCTTGAAGGCGCTTCTCCAAGTGTTCAACATCCTATTTTCGGCAGTTGAAGCGCGTCTACCGTCTGTAACACGAGGTGGTTGGTGGGTTAGATCGGCGAAAGGGGGGGTGATTTATGTTCGTCGGCGTGGTTAGGTGGCCTCGAGTCGGCCCGTGGCGATGGCGAATCGTATTGAGGCCCGTACCGCCTCTAAGTTCGGCGTCCACTTCTGATCATCGGAAGGCGACTTTCCTCCTAGGAAGAAGGATATATTTCCTCGGTGGGTGTTGGTACATTGTAGTAGTTCCGTCCGGTGCGCCGTCCATTTTTGACATCGAAATAGGAAGTGCTCCACGGTCTCTCTCGCTTGTCCACACGCACACTGGTCCGTGTCTGCTACGTTGATTCGATAGAGATATCCATTGAGTCTTGCCATGCCGGTTCGGAGTTGAGCCAGCACGCTCGCTTCTTTCCACAATAATCGGTCATACAGCTGCCGGGTGTGTTTGCCTGGGAGTGCTGCATCAACTCGTTTTGCGTGTCTCCCTACGTTCACTGGCAGGTCATTGCTGGGGACTGCTTGGGACCGTGCGATATTCAGTGTTGTTGACTTCATTCTCGGGACGCGTTCTTGCGGGAGAGCATCTTCTTGTGTCGCGGCTCTGGCCTGTTCTTTAGCCAGACCCCGCAGTTTATTGTCTTCGCTCGTTGAGATCCACCTGATATTGATCTGGTTTCCATTTCTCCGTAGCTTTCTCATCAACTTGAACACTTGGCAGACGAATTCCTGGCCTGACTGTTGTCGAGGATTCCTTAGTGTCAGAGCCGCCGCTTTGTTGCTCGTGAGCAGCGTAATCCTGTAATCTTTCAGTCCAACTACCATGTTCAATGCATGTGCCATCGCTGCTAGCTCCGCAGAGAACGGATTTTGCTCTGCTCTTGCACCTAATGTGACGAAAAGGGTCTTCAGTTTCAGTTTTCGATACCGAGGTGGCTGCCTCTCGATCGCCACCCCAAATCCGACCAGCTCGTTCCGTGCTGAACTGCTGGTTGCGATCTGCATTAACCCGCCTGGTACGGTCGGTGACTGCGGAGTTGCTTCAACGCCAGCCTGTACGCGTACTTCCCATGGTGCCAATGTGAACGGATTGATGGTTTCCAGTGTTTCCATCTCAATGTTCTTCAGCGCGTCTGCTACTTGATACAGCGGCGAACGATGGTATCTTCTGAATTTCTTGATCCGTGCTGTATTCCTGCGGAGAGGGTTGGTTTCTGGCAGGGTATGTATGTCCGTCCACATCTTCACGGCTCGTCTCCAGAAACGGTGTTGAACAGTGGCAAGGTGGGCCTCCGCCTCTGCTACACTGGTCGCAACTGTGAGGAATGTTCCTACAATCGCCTGCGCTCCTACCCTTTGGACGCGGTTGATCGGCCCCATGGCCTTATCCTTGCATGCGTGCATCCAGACATTGGACGCGTAGTCCACGACCGGCGCCACCGTCGATGTAAATAGCTGCCGCGCTGTCGCTGGGGATAAACCCCGAAGTCGTCGAAGCTCCATCGCGGCCTCCAGGCCCTTGGATGCTGCCCTCGCCAGATATAATATTGCATTGGTATACTAAGATCTAGTCTGTTCTTTTAAGCCAATACAACGGAGAGATGGGCAAATTCCCCCCCATGCTTTCCCAGCTCCTTATCCAGCTCACTAGTACTCTCATTCCTAGATGTCCGCAGATCCTCTTGCCTTCAAGATCTTAGCCTTTGGGGTTCCAGCAGAGCCAAAAACCTTCCCCCACACTCATATACCCGTTTGCTCCTTAAGCCCACCCTCCAGGCCAAGTTGCAGCTCTGCTAAGTCCCCTTAGGGTCACGGCATAACAACCTTCCTGCTTCTTGTGAACCGACATGCGCATCCGTCCTCTCGGGCTATACTGACAGTGTTGTAAGGATCTCTAGTCAGCAGCCGATGGCGACGCGCCAACCTTCTTCCTAGCCATCGTTGCCATAGTATACCTCAGTCCACAAGTTGGCGTGATTTCTTGCTTCCTGATACCTAGTATCCTCTCGTTCTCTAGGCCGACCATGTCTTGCAGATGGTCCCTTTATACACCCAAGCCTGCAGCGTATAATCTTTCCATCCACTAACCAGAGTATCCTCCGATTCGAGGTAAGGGAGCCAGCAGCCGATGGCGATACACCTTAGCCCTAATCCCACAAATCCAATTCTACCCCACAGGTGTCCTGCTCGACTTCGATCCGCGCCTCTGAGAGGCTCTGTGAACTCCCCTTGGGGTGACGGCATGAGAGGCTGTAACCGTTATCGTCGGATGGTTTTTAAATCGTTCCTGTGTGCCAAAGGGGCCTCGAGGTCGCTAGAATTGCGGTGGAGGCAGGCCGCAACATCGCGGACTCGTTTCCTCTGGTCGTCATTGCGTCTCTCATTGGCTCTGGAGTAACAGAGACTCCAGGTTCGTAGCCCACGCCTCGTACAGGCTGAGAAATCCGATTTCGTGGGCCAAATCTGGATACAGACGCGCTCGAAATCAGTTTCACCTTTTTATTCTCTTAGATTTATTCTTGAACTTTATTTTGAAGTACGCTATACTGTTTGTGGTTACTCTACCCCTGACCCACATTCTTGGCAGTATCCTCGTACGGTAATAAATGATGACATCGAAATAGCGATCGTATTGTCCCTGTATTAGCTATACGCTATACTTGTCTAAAACAATTTCTTGCAACCAAATCAAACGTTGCGGATGGTGACGATTGAATATTTACTGCATTCAGCGGCTTAAGCAATCTGCGATATGTTCAATGACTCGCTAAGTATCATTGTATCAGGTATCATCTCGAACTTTGACGAAGGAAGGCTTGGCGTCATGTAGCGGAGGGATGGTGGAAAGTTCCTGATTTGGGTGGTGGAAACCCCCTAAGGGCTTGACCGCTGGGGATTTTTGAGGGACCATACAGAATTACTTTCTCCATGCTCACCCCTGCTCACCATCTGCTCAGTGAGCAGACGAAATGTTTTTTGGTTCAAGGTCTGGGGGATGCTGGGGCATTGGGGAATGCACGTGACCCTGGCTTTTTTGTTTCTGGAAGACCCATCTGAAAAGAGCGGGCGCTCAGTCTCTGCCAGCTGGGTAAAACAGAAAGCGCATATAAATATATGGATACTGAATTGTGCGCCTGGTCTTACCCAGGCGGTTGGCTGCTGGCTTCTCTAGACGTACGTACTGACCTATCTATAAGCTCCAAAACTCTGAAAGCTTAATTCCATCCATTATGTGACCGTGAGTTGGTATACCTACGGTTTAAATAATTCTTCCAGTCGAAGACAATTCAGGAGAAAAAGGTCGGCTATTAAATGAGACTTGAAAGAGAGATACATGTAGAAATTCGAGGCAATAGAAACACTGATCAAAGTCCATTGAAAAGGACTTTATTCTGTAAGCACAAGAAATATAATATGACCTGATAAACAGCCTATCGCCAAATTTGTTGCTGACATAGCAAATAACGAAGAATAGGCCGGTCTGTACTTGGCAGGCAGCCACAGGAGGTTGACTCCATTATAGGTTATCCAGAAAGAATCATCGCTCAAGCCATATCCATGTTATGTTGCTCAGGCAATGAAATCGAGCCATGAGGCATAGACTTGACATAACCAATTGAACCTATATCGAATGTACCAATATTCGTGTGCAAATGATTGAGATTAACTTGATCGAATTGAAGGAAACCGGGGGAGCTGATGTGGAGGGTTGACGAACACTGGCCAGTCACCGGATCCCAGATCCTGACTGTCTCATCGTCGGACGCCGATGCGAGTCGGCTTCCATCTTGTGACCAGGCAACTGAGGTGACCTGGTCACTATGCCCCTTGAGTATTAACACGCTCTGACCGGTGACCACATCCCAGATCCTGCCTGTGGTATCCCTAGACGCTGAAGCAAGTCGGCTTCCATCCTGCGACCACGCAATCGAGTTGATCCACTCGCTGTGCCCCTCGAGTGTTAGCACGCTCTGGCCGGTGACCGGATCCCTGATCCTAACTGTCTTATCATCGGACGCTGATGCGAGTCGGCTTCCATCTTTCGACCAGGACATTAAGTCCCATTCGTGGCCCTCGGTTTGAAGACATGCACTCCAACTTTTCTCAATCACTGGATCATTCAAAACCCAGTCTGGTCTCTCCTGCGCATGATATATTCTCATGAGGCTCTCTGTTGGGCAGAAGATGAGAGGTGAATAGTATACTTGTAGAGGGCTGCTTTCAATTGCTCTTCTGAAATATCGAATGAACCTGGAGGCGTCTCGAGCCCGATGCAATAGGGATTGTGACTCGCCCTTCTCCTATTGAAGTGGGTTTAAGAAGAGCACATTATTTCTATATTTAAATAACCACATACCTTAATTAACATCTCAGGGGCCTTGCATCGCTTGGATACCATATGAGATACGTCCTAAAATACTAAGCGCCTCGAGCCAGTGAAGGTATTCCTGCCGTAGAAACGCATCCACGCAACCCATCTCATCAAGGCTCAGCTCATAGATTTCATTGCGCTCGCTACTTTGAAAATGGTCCACCCAATAGACACACGCATATTGTGCGGCTGCTAGTGGATTTGGGCTGGGTTGTCTGATATCCTTAATCGGGAATCCAGGCAACTTGATATCAAAGATATCACGTCGAAGTGTCTTGGACATGACTTCGAGAGATCGTGCGAAAATAGTATGGTGATCAGCTCCCATACCTCCAGGAAGTATCTCATTTAGTGCCTCCCGGAGTAAAAAGTCCTTCGCGGACTGATGGACGAATATGATAGTGCTTTCTCGTAATGTCAGGAACGAGCCACACACTGCGATGATCTCCGAAAGGGATTCATCATCATCGTAGTCGGCACCCGGCACTTCAATAAGTGATTTTAGTTCGCTAAGCGTGATAGGCCGATACACTGTTGACATGATAGCTAGTATTTGCTTGCAGAGTTCAGCATCTTCTGACTCGCGAACCTGATCAATCATTCGACCGTACAGAGCATTCAGTCCAGGAGGAAATGCTTCTAGCTTCTTAATGGCGTGCCTCGGTAGTGTCTTATCAAGGTTTTGACAGACTAAGGCCACCCAAAGGAAAGTGCCTTGCGAGTTTAACGACAAGTGACGGCAGATCGTGTCACGGGTGTCACCTTTATATCTTTTCACCTTCGCCAAAGAGTGAACCTTGTGCTCAATGAATCTATTGACAGATTCGGACACAGATGCCTCGTTTAGCTCCAATGAGATCAGAGTGATCTCGGTTGCAATATCAAGGCGCTCAATGATTTCAGGCCAGTTACGGCTAGAGGCGATCCACTTTATCTGTGGGTGGGCTGATGACTCTTGGATGATCAAGTCCAGAAGGGAACGAAGACCATTTGTGCACTCGTCTAAGGCATCAATGATTAGATAGGCACTGTTCAAAGACGGGTCTTTCAGAATGTCCGTAAAGATGGCCGAGAGCGCACTCCATGCATTTATGTCCTCAAATAGGGCCTTGCCCGCTTGGTCGTATCGACCCCGCACGTGGGAGAGAAGAGATGGGTTCTTCTTTCTTCTCGACAAGTAAATATATCAAGCCCCGGAGGACGGACGTCGCACTATTGATTCGCACGTCGGTAGCCTGACAGAAAAAGAATGAGATATTCGCAGAACCCACATTTAATCGTGTTACCTCGTCAATGATACCACACAGCAGCATTGTCTTGCCTTTGCCGGGATCACCTCTGATCCAGAGGAGATGATTGGTCTGATTGTCTTGCCACTTTTTGAACTCCTCGTTGTCTAAGATCCAGCAGTATGAGTTTTTGAGCAGCCCTCCGTTGGTGCTCTTGATGCGCTCTTTATCATCGTAGGGATTGGTCGTTCGAAGATCCCGCAGGCACGCTTGATTCAACGATGCTTCCGCTTGTACTAAGGCTGTCACTCTAATTAGTAGCGTCCTATTGAAGCTTTGTCTCACCACTTACGAAATTGTGCAGTGATGTGACCATGATTCAGCCCGACTTGTAACCCAGAGTTTGAACCACCATATGATACCGTACATGTCATGATTGCACCCAGGTAGTCTTGGGTGGGTTTGTCAGTACACGGTTGGGTCTCCATTGCCATTGTACCCCGCTATCATGTGATCTATCTAGACGTGGAAAAAATCAATCGTCTTGATCTCTTACTCCATATTCGCCTAGAGAGGCAAGGTTTCTTTCTACCTGCCCTAGCCAGTAATAGTTACTGCATTAATGGAGTTCCATGGTACATTTCTTTAGCTCCAGTGGAAGGTTAAGCTCTGATTAGAGTGACGAACCTTGAGATGAACTGTGGAGTAACAATCGTATTGATGATTCTGAAAAGTTACAAACCCACCGATCGTGTAACAATAAGTTACAAAACATTTCGAGATCTTGCAACAAACTAAATCTAAAATGGCCTAGCGTGTTTCAAAATAGAGTTCAAGGAATAATTGAAGAGAGTAAAAAGGTGAAACTGATTTCGAGCGCGTCTGTACCAAATTCCATTCCCGCAAATTCAAGCCCAATTAGATGTGTTGTGTGCAGATGACGATGTGTGGTCGTGTGAAAAAGATCAAAAACTTTGACATCTAGGTACTCTCCAGATACTTTGCTTGGTTGGGGCTCTGTATGACTGATCTGTCTGATAAGACTGTTATCAAGAAGCTCTTGTCCAGCAATCCATGCTTCTGCGCGCTCCTGCATAGAAAATAACGAGGAGGCATGAGAACGGTGCCTGAGGCGTTGGACGTCCTCAACACTCTTTTTAAAGTTGGCAGGGATCGCAAAAATCCACACCTCCAGCTGAGTTTGACTTCGGCGCTTCCCCTTGTAGTACTTATCTGCCTTGAAGATTCGGTCGCTCAATCGAATGGTGTCCGGGCCGATGATCAGGATCTGGCATTTGTCCTGGAACCAAGGCTCAAACAGTCGCATGGTATGGTCAAAGTCTCGTAGTGGCTGTAAGAACGTATATACTGTATCCTGGGCTGGTGTAATCCGAAGTGAAGCTAAGAGGGCGCCAACGTCGGAAGCCGTCAGCTGTTCCATTGTGCTGCGTGCTATCTCATAGTAGCCTGCGTGGTGAAACAGCAATGAGATTCCTTTTTGACACTGAGACATCTTGACAGATGATGCGAACACAGTGAGCTGTTGGTTTTGGAAAGAATTTCAGCATATCCTCGTTTGGCTCAAGCTACTATGGAGATCTTACCGAGGAGCAATCGTAATAATAAGTCAATTTGAAGCATTAAACGGTAAAGAAAATTGCGTTTGTCTATTGATACAGCGGGGACCAAGGTATCTTATAAGAGCTTTCAGGAAGTTTCAATGCAGCGTGTGGTAAGCATGGGCCGCAGTTCGCTCCTGGAAGCCACTCCTGCCCTAGAGTACTGCAATACTGCCAAGAAAGTGGTCCAGGGGCAGAGTAACCGTAATTGATATAGCGTCTTTCGGGAGAGGATTCGAAAGAGAATCTCAGTGTGCAAGTGGTGAAACTGATTTCGATCCTCCCTATATGATCCTAGGAACATATGAGTCTCGCTCGCGCATAGAATAGTGGAATGGGTTATCGACATTAAGAATAGCTCTCCTTGTCTCTACATACAAGGTATAGCGCGAGGAAGCAACTAAAAGGGGCCACCCCGACATGAAGCGATAGCAAACATGACACACTCGCAAGAGGAAGAAGTTGGTCGACCAGGATGACCTCTGTTTCATCTTGAAGAAACATTTCGCGTCCAAAACTCCCAGCCTTCCCGATTTTCTTGCACTCCCACTCCAACCAGCTGGTTGATACCTTGAACGCCGTCAGCATTTTCAAACATCTTCTGATCAATCTCTTCGCCAGCTCTTCAATAGTTTGATCTTCGATGTCTGGTCGGAAAAGCGTAATAGCACATCCACCACATCCAGCACCGGTAAGTTTGGTCCAACCAATATTCGCATAATCCACGAGCTCGCGAATACGCTCTAGGGGGGTAGCTAGACCATCTCTGTCTCTTTCCCTTATAAATGTGCAAACGTGGTTAATTCGCAATCCCCCCGACGAGCCCGCTGCGTACAAATTCCATCCACAAATACTGCACTGACTATGTCTATATACAGTCTAGAGTCCTAAGTTTCCAGAATTTTCTATAAGGGAGATGCATCTGACACTGTATCAGGACAAGTTTAGCTACAGTGGGAGTCGAAAACAGATTCTCTGTGGACATAGACGGATTGTTTCTCAGCCTGCACTGCATAGACAATGACGATGATGATTTCATTTATCCCGGCCCCTCGCAAAGTTGAAACCCTGAATTGAGGTGCAAGTGTGACAATTATGTTGAGTCTATGAGAAAAGATCCAGCTACTTGTAGTCGCAGCAGCTTCTGCCGAGCGGTGTGGCAGCCTAGCAGGCAGCCACTCCTGTAGATCTATATACATCACCTAACTTAGGATCCAATTCGCAAGGCAATATGCAGGCCACAGAAGCTGGTGACGAGCGCTGCGCACGCTGTGGCCCTGAAACGATGAAGATGAATGGTGGGGACAAGAAAGTCAAAGACAAAGCCATGTTGATATGCTTGACTGATACTTCACAATGCCATGAGCATTGACCAATGGGAAGGTCAGGGCGATTACAACAGCGGTTACGAAGGGGTACTCAATGCAATGCACCAGGATGATTTCTGTAAACCAGGTAGGACAAAAGACCAGCGGAGATATGTGCACATGAGAGAGGAACAGGAAACAGATGGAAAGAGCACATGACCAGGAATCCAACCAAACACGAAAATTGGCTGCGTGTCTCGCCGCGTTGGCGGCCAGCTTTGTGAAGCCAGGGTCACATAGGTCTGGGGTTAGTAACCCTTTTTACTCCGTTCCTCCGTTTCGGGGCATTCCACTTCTTGAAAGGGGACTTCAAGCATTGTCAAGGCCTATCGTAGCCTAATACTGTATATGACGTTAATGTGAGTCGTCTCACTATACACGTGCACCCTCCCTCCCCCGTCTGCCCAGTCCTCCACCGATGACATCTTCTGTTTCCAGGCTTAATTAGTCTTTATCTCGCTATCTGACTGCGAGTGTGACTATCGGCAGCGGAGAGACGACTCGGCTCTAGGCAACGTGGGCGCGGCTCCTGCCTGTTTCCATTGGATACGTAAAGCCTCGGGAAATGGCTATATATACCCAAGCCATTTCAACAACGAGGATAGCGCACCGGACACTAAAGATGCGAGGGTATCCACGCGATATGTCATCATGATCGTTCTGCTCCGCGACATGCATGCAGTGGGAAGAGAGGTCTGTTATTCTCGAAACAAGTCTAGCTCCACCCTAATGAGTTCTCTGCCATAGCCGGAGCGCTAATCGTCCGAGAGCGAGCAGTTGTGCGGCTGCCCTGACTGGGTACACTACAATCAGAAGCGAGCACCGGTCCCGCAGTCTGCTCAACTGCTGAGGTTGTGCTGTGGTGGAGCTGCTTTCTTTTGTGGTAGCGGCGGGCAACCCAAAACATACCGGCACCGTAAGCAGCGGCACCAGCCACAACGCCGACACCTATTGCAATGGAGCTCGGACTGGCCTTGGAGCTGCTGGCGGAGCCATCACTGTTGGTGTTTTCGCTACCGTCCGAGCTACCACCATCCCTGCCGCCACTAGTAGAACTATTGGCACTGCTGGGGTAGCTTCCAGAGTACTCGAGAGGGATTGTCTGGTCGATCATGGTCATCAGTGACTGGATAGGTTCTGCAGTCTGGTTGTACAGAGCCGAGTTGGGGTTGACTTTGAGAGTTCTCAGTGCATCGACCTTATCTTGAGGGAAGTAGAATATAGAAAGGGTGGCGTTGTAGCCTGTGGCCTGCCAGTTGTAATAAGGCTGGAGAGCAAACATGATTGGGGTATCATCTGCAGAGAGAGTTGGCAGAGCATTCACAATGGCCTGAGGAGTGTATCTGAGAATTTGCGATGATGACAAAGGGGTATTCACGACAAATGACCATGGGAGCTGGCTGTTAAAACCCAGCTGAAGTAATATCGAGTTGGATGGAGCCTTTCTAACTCCACTTGGTAAAATTATAGAGTCAGGGAGAGATGTCGCCTTGGGTTCCTCGGTCTGGCGGGAGGTAGAGCCCTCAGTGGGAGTAACCTTAGGCATAATTAGGATGGTAGATGGCATCCAGTCGTTGTCATTGGAGGAGGTGAGAAGCGTGGCTACATCATTTTGCGTGGTCCGGGGTTCCTCTGGGCTCTTGGACATTCTCAAATAGCTGTCCGACACAGGGATAGAAGTAAAAGACGGGTAAGAGGTGGGTGTGTGAGTCTTGGGGGTCTCGTGAGAGCCGATAACAGTAATCGAGCCAGTGCTAGAGACAGTGCTAGAGCCAGTGCTAGGGCCAGGATCAGAGGTAGTACTCGAGGCAGTGCTAGAGACAGTGCTAGAGGCAGTACTCGAGCCAGGATCAGAGGGAGTACTAGAGGCAGTACTCGAGCCAGTGCTAGAGACAGTGCCAGTGCCAGAATCAGAGGCAGTACTCGAACCAGTACTAGCGGCAGTGCTAGAGCCAGTACTCGAGCCAGGATCAGAGGGAGTACTCGAGGCAGTGCTAGAGACAGTATCAGAGGCAGTATCAGCGGCAGTACTCGAGCTAGTACTAGCGGCAGTGCTAGAGCCAGTACTCGAGCCAGGATCAGAGGGAGTACTCGAGGCAGTACTCGAGCCAGTGCTAGAGACAGTGCCAGTGCCAGAATCAGAGGCAGTACTCGAGCCAGTACTAGCGGCAGTGCTAGAGGCAGTACTCGGGTCAGGATCAGAGACAGTACTCGAGGCAGTGCTAGAGGCAGTACTAGAGGCAGTATCAGAGGCAGTACTAGAGGCAGTACTAGAGGCAGTACTAGAGGCAGTACTAGAGGCAGTACTAGAGGCAGTACTAGAGGCAGTGCTAGAGGCAGTATCAGAGGCGGCAATAGAGAAATTATCCGACCTAGCCGAGTACTGGATATGAGGTTTTCCAATGGCGCGGGCGGGGGTCGGGATAATAGCAGTTGTGCTAACCCCGGGTCCCAGGATAGGAGCGGGCCTAGTCGAATTGACAGTAAGAAGACTCATATCAGGCATCGGCATGATCGGAACCAAGGCTGTGCTGTCAGTTCTTGATGGGGTATCACCAGATATAGTATCAACGCCAGATGCAAGACCACTGAGCGGATCACGAGAAATTGACGCTGCAATGGGAACGGCAGTCTTCGGCGGGGACCTAGTTGCGGAAGTTGGTATGCTGCTTGGAATATTATGCAGATTAGATGTATCAGAAGACAAGGTGGCAGGGGTGCTATCTCCAGCAAAAGCCTTGTCACTTAGAACCAAAACTCCAAGATGTTGCGATCTCGTGCCTGCAGTAGTTAAGCTTGCACCATTCGAGCTGCTAGCCTTGCTGAATTCGGTACTCAAAGAAATCGAGGAACCAGCTATAGAGGGCATTGTAGAGGCTGAGCCGCTAATGGTTGATGGACAAGAAGGGGACATAGTCCGCCCCTTGTCCATTAACTCAGTTGTGGAGGCCAGGACAGACGAAGATGTGAAGATACTGGGTAAACTACTAAAAGCAATGCCCAAGCTTGAGCCCAAGACATCGAGACCGTCAGTGAAGGTGGTGGCCAAATAATCTGAAGCAGGCTTAGTTGAAGCCTTCATTGACAGGTCAAGGGCCGATTCTTGTTTGCCCATGATTTCCGCGGTGAGAAGGATGGCCTCGGGACTCTTCTGTATGTTGATTTTGGTGCTCAAACCTTCCGTATTTTCGGTGTATGTGGTGGGGGTAGCGGTCAACCCACCACCGACGGTCGTACTACCAGTAACATGTTGGGTAATCACGGAAGCCTGAGGGTCAACAGATATGGTCCCAGCAACGACTTCCTGTACAGTCAATGCCTGAGCCGCGGACGAGCTCATCGGAGTTGGAGTAACCAATGAAGAGATCTGAGTAAGGGTCGTGTTGTTGAAGTCCCCGTTTACGAGCAAGCCAGGGTCAGAATCATCGTTCCACTGGGCCTTACTACGGGCCATTTTCTTGAATATCCGCGGAAAGTACCAACTCGGTTGAGCTACCTGCGCCCCGGGGGCCCCATGGGCTTCTGTACACTCTAGCCCGCCTACAGCGAGGAAGGTCATGAGAATCGCGATGGCGTTGGGACGCATATTGAGGTATTCGGTACGTGATTCTCTGGGTCCCTCACAATTAGGTATTATGCTGAAATTGGAGTGTCGGAGTTGCTACTGCTGGAAATAGTATAACGAGGCGCTTATTTGCATGCTACCTTCATTTGAAACCTTAGCGAGGTGGCCTCGGCGCTATATTGCATCCGGCTTCGCTTATGATCTTACATACCGAACAATGGCTCATGGTTCGATTTCAACAATATCAGGTTGTGCTTGTGTCGTGGCCTGTCGTGTCAGTCTTTGCAGGGTGGCTACCACTTCTTCCAAGAGTACCTTTTGTGCGGGAAGCAGGCAACTATGGCACCCGCGCGAGTATTGAGTTGATCAGTTCGACACAGTGGAAAACACAGATTCAATTTGTTGTGCCAGCGCTGAGTGATATGGTGTGCCAGCATTATTAGACGTACACATTTTTCTCGGGTGGAGGTTAAATGTGTTGAGTCGCAATTCTCTGGTCGGTCTAGTTTTAGCTTTGGGGTCCAATACGCAGCAAAATATCAACTCACGGAGGTTGTCCTATCGGGCAGGATCCTCTGTTTGTCCAGCATCAGGGATAACCACTTTAACAAGTTTAAGGATACCCACGTTGCGTCAGGCGGGGGTTCGTATCTGCCTAACGGATATGAGCTCGAACAGTTCGAATGAAGAGGGACATCTAGTTTATTTTTAAGTGTAACAACAATCGAGATCACTTTATTACATCTTCTTATCATCTTGGATAAATTTCTTGTGTGCGAGTTCAACGCTGCAAACGAAATTGTTTACCGGAGAACTAACTTTACTTTTCACCGGAAATAGCCTTTCATGAATTGTTAATAATCCTCTAAGAATCTTTAGGGAGAGTATTATTATAGGGAAACATACGAATGCAGGCTGATTAATTAGTAGCACTTATGGATGGGTTTCCAGGGAATACGAATCCTCACAATAGAACATAGAAAGGTAGGGACTTACTGTGACATATAAATCTCACACTTCCCGAGGTTCTACACGTACATACCAAAGAACTTGTTATCTAGCATTCGTCGACCCCCGCATTGCCTACAATGCGATCCCTTCGATACATTCCACTTGGTGCTTTTTTTGTTAGACCCGCATTCGGAGGGACCCTGCAAGTCATCAATAATAATGGCCAATGCATGATTTGGTCTAAAGATAACTCTGGCTGCACTGGATACTCCAAGCCCTTTGGGCTGCTGAATGGCGATGATTGCTCAAGTGAGTACTGTAACAATGTAAGTTCCTACACCAACTAACAATCAAGAAGGCCTATCTGCAATTGTGAACGGCGCTCGAGATACCTTTTCCCTTTTGAACGTTGATATTTGTGGCTCAGAGAATGGTCCACCAGCTGCATGGGTGCGTGTAGAAAAGACTGGTGTTCTGTCAATCTTCAATCAACAGGGTGACACCTCTACATGTATACTAGACAATGGGTTCACAGTTGGTAGCTCTTGCAGCCCAAAAAAAGAGGGATCAGCGTTATCATCAACTTCAACCTCTGCTTCGGCAACTGCCTGCGCCCTTGTTTCTGATCCAGTTTGAGGGCTACAAAACGGATGATTTGTCATCTTTCCTAAGCTTTGACTGTGTGGCCAATCAGGATTTAGCATTCCGTCCTGCCTACATAGTAATTTGGTATTAATCATGCTTGCCTCACAATAACCGTGCCAAGCGCCCAACTAGATAGCCATTTTTCACCAGATAACCAAATTTCAATTTATTCACCTATGAGAATATTATTTACAGGTAACCACCACGACTATCTATATACCAATTTCCACTATTACAGTACTTCCGGAAATTGGTGTCACCACCTATAGTATATCCGCCACTAATGCCAAGAAGTGCTAGTCCATATTAGGGAAGTAATCGGAACATTGATGTTCCGATATTTACGAATACAAGTTCTTACGATAATAAGGTACGTACACTACCTGCGCCTCGTAACTAAGTGTATGAGTGATTCGTAGTAGACTAGAACCTTCACTAGAAATGCAAACATTTCATATAAAATTCACCCGTAAATAATCTTCAATTCCTCACGGAAAAATGTGTACAAGAGTAACAAAAAGCGGGGGTGGAGGTTAATTAAGGAAGAGTGGTGATGGAAGAGAGTGGCCGATCGCGATTAACCTTTTTTTTTTTTTAAAAAAAGGGATTTTTTAGACTAAGTTGAGGACCACATTTTGAGTATGCTTTTCTAGCGGGTACCCACCGAATGGTTTGATCCTAAAGTATCGCATTTCCCTTTCGCAACACATATTTATACCTGGGATAGCCACAGCTCCTTCAGGCTGAAGAACTTGTTAAACCCACTACACGTACACAAGCCCATCGCACCTCCAAAACACCATGGGAAGATTCCGTCAGATTATTATGCGTGAGATATCATTCCTTCATTACTTTAAAGTGGACTAACCATGAGGTTAGCGTGGAGGAAGGAAGCGCACAAGAAGCACCGCACCAAGCCTGATCCGCCATTCATTCTTAAAGTCTCTCCGGGCCTTCCACAGTCATGGCTGGATAAAAGGATTTTCACTCCTAAGTGGGAGCTAAGGTCAGACTGGGAAAAGGAACAGGCTTTTTATATCAATACATTGAACCGCGAGGAAGAGTATAGTGGAGCCGGGTTGGCCAAGATCAGAGGTGAAGACTTCCAGGAATATGAGAAGGGAAAGTATGTATACAAGCCTAACCGCGACGGAAAGGCCTTATACTAAACTACTGTGACTACGTGAGAGAGCTTCTACAATCCATTTCAATTTATTGATATCGTGGGGGAGTGAATGTGTTAGTGAAGGACCCTCATCGTAGACTCTTTTTCTTCTCCCATTCAGGTCACTGAAGTGGCACGTTGTATGTTTGAAGTCAGCTTGTGCTGTTGGGCTTATCATAGAGGACAGATGTGGTGGTAGTGGAACCGTGTAGTATAGTAGCTACAGTAGTATTCGAAATCAGATTTACCTCCGCACTCTTCGACTTTAACTCCCGAACCCTAATCTGAAACCTGCTAGAATGCGCTCAACCTGGCAGCATTTAACGGCCATGACCAGGAGGTTAATTTTCTACTTGCTACCATGAAACAGGATGTCAATACGACCGACGATGCAGGAGCAAACCCCTTGATGTGGGCCTCACGGAACGGACACGACAAAATCGTGCAGATACTGCTAGAAAGAGGAGCCGATATCAACACCCAGGGTGGCGACTACGGAAATGCGCTCTATGCAGCTTCTTCTAGAGGACACGATAAGATCGTGCAGATACTGCTAGAAAGAGGAGCCGATGTCAACGCCCAGGGTGGATTCCACGGAAATGCCCATCAAGCGGCTCGTCGGGGAGGATACCACCGTATAGTGAAACTTTTCCAGGGACATCATTGTGCTGATCAGTCGACCTCCCAACCTCCCCCTTCCAAAAGGCTCAAGGTATCATCATGATCCCACTTACCATGTTCAACTCAAATTTTTGTAATACCGCGATATCTTGATTGGTTTTCTTTCCCTAGGTAGTTGTGCTATAGTCCTTGCTCTCAATACTGAAATAATTTGTCCATGATCCATAATCCATGATCCAGCCATTCATACATTAATGGAATAAGAACTACGAAAACCAAATAAACCTACTCGTTCTTTTCAGTCGATGTAACCTCTGTATACATAACTCAGTAAATGAAAGACCTTTGCTCTCATTAATTGGACCAGCTGTCTGTTCCCTTACCCTGCCTACGTTGTGGACTCATACCATGTGGTAGGCACCAGGGGCAATTGTGTTGTATCTAGACTTCCGCAGAGCCCATAAAGCCCAAAGCCCAACCCACTCCAACCCACTAATGGGCCGGGTTTTGGGCCCGTTCATGAGGCTCATCGATGGGCCGAGGGCCTAAGGTAAGAGCCCACTGGGGTTTTATGGGGGCCCAATATGCCCCAAACACTACAAACTTGCCAATTCTTGGCATTTGTATAGTAATGCAGAATTTCCTAGTATTTTTGAGTATTCAAATTACTGTCTGAGGCCCCCAATTGATTGAGAATTCACTGATTAATGAGATTGATAAGATTAACTGATGAGATTGACTTTAAGAGGTACGCTGGTCAAGTCAACCACCGAACTGACAAGGGGGTGACAGGGTGTTCCTGCTGCTGGAGGTATCCTGGGCGAGGTCTGACCACCAGTCTGATAGGGGGTCATTACTCAATTAGTTATGCGGGCATTTTGGTCAATGGTAAAATTCACTTACTACTGCAGTAGACTTCCGCACGACCCAGGCCCAACCCAGACCCAACTACTGAGGCCCAAAAAACCCAGAAATAGCCCATTTGGACCCACTTTTAGCGACCTTTTGCATACATAATGGTCTTGGCGCTCATAATGCGGCTAAATCAGCAGAATTATGGACACAATTAGGGTGAAAATGTAATTGTGGTAGACTGGCAACTGGGTGGTCTATACAGTAATGTTCGAAATCAGTTTTATCACTACACTCTCTTATATTCTTTCCCGAACCCCTGACCCGAAACACGCCAATCTAATTTTAGCACTTCCCCAGTAATCCCTGTAGGGTTGTATTGTATTCACTGGTAACGAGAAATGAGTCATTGTTACAGTACTGTAATTTCCCCTGGAATCTGACGGAATCTTTCATGCAAGCCGACCAAACCAAAGGAGAATCGTAACAATCTGGCAAGATCCTTCTTGCACTTCCTCGTGTCTTTGGCCTCCTCGTCACACGCAGCCTTCGCCTACATCATTTGAAATCCAATAAAAGGTTGCAGCGGCGCCATAGAGAACTAACACTGGTAGGCAAACAAGCTTCTCTATTCCCATGGCTTCCGTTATCTACTGCGATTTTCATTCGTTACCGGCGTCCATTGAAAACTGGTACTCTGAGAAGCTGACATTCAAAGCCGTGGTCGTGTAGAGATGACGCAGAGCCCATATCACATCGATTCCATCTCAGCCCGAAGAGCCTGGACAATGGGAACACGACTCGCTGTACGCTCCAACCTCTGGATACTTTGGTAGTCCCTACGCAGCGCCGTCCAACTACAGTCCCTCCCCGCCCTTCCCGCCTAGTGGGGTTGAGAATCAGTCACAGCCATATACTCTCAGGCTGGTCCAGTTTCTGAATGGGAGGAGGGAAGAGTTTACAACCAGGACCCGCCGACATGTATCCACTATCATATAGAGTGGCGAGTGACAGTCAACAATCGGGAGGTGTCAAAAGACACAGAGGAAGACAGAGGAAGACCTTGTGTTGGCCCCCAGTGCCTTCTGGCAGCTGTTGTTGGAGAAAAAAAACTGGAGAAAGGTTCTTCGACGAAAAATTGCCCGCCACCGTTCGGTGAAAGCTGATGACACTGCCATTGTCATTTCAGTAAATGATCGTACCTAGCGCAACCTGACTAAACGATTTGACGATACCGACATTACTTGGACCGCCATCGAGAAGCAGCTTCTGATGTGGTCAGGTCTATTCTCCCGGGGTAAGGAACTCACGCTGAAGATCTGCTTCAACTACGTAGATGATCGTCACTCTTCTCCAACCGCTGGTCGGAAAGTGGAGAAAAGAGGAAAGTCATCTATCACGAGAAGGATGCTCGATGAAAGAGACGCACAGCTTGATGCGGAGCAGGATGCTTCTGGACAAAAACCAATCTGGCGCAGCGTCTATAATCTGATGCGATGCGCTTCGTCGACATGCCCTTTGGGCCCGTATTGTTGGGTGGATCCAATGGGAAGAAAGCACTACCAACTGAAAACTCATCATCTGAGGCGCCTAGTCACCCATGTCGAAAAAGGTGGGGTTTTGGACGGCCACAAGGATGTGCCAGAAACGGTACGCGAAGAATTATATATGGAAGGCAACAGAGACTGGAGAAGAACAATCGCAAAGGAGGACATATCGTTGGAAATGGAATAGCGTATCCTCCTATCAACATCAATGTCCTACCCTCGCAGTCTTCCGCCTCTGGGTTAGACATTCCGACTGCTCAGGCTGCTGCTGACTTGAAGTCTCTAAGCCCGCTCGACATTCCTGGACCTGGGGACGAAGCGGTCAAGGAATATAGTGAGTGGCAGGTGTCAAAGGTCACTGATGACACCCTCAAGGTTGCATTTAGACAAGCCTGTGACATGATGCTCGAGAATGGTCTTGACCTTGAGCAGGTCTACAAGGATCAAGACCCGGAATACTTTATCGGCAAGGGAGTAAAGCTGGGCATTGCTCGACGTTTCGTAGAAGACATTCGGCGCTGGGTCGAGAACGTGAAGAAAGCAATCCCTATTTATGAAATAACATAGCAACAACCTGCGTAGACATTGGAGCATATGAGCGTTCAGGAGTTTTGTCGGATTATGTTGGAAATATTATATAGTGAACTTGGCCATGGTTGCAATTGGAAATTTAGTGGTTTTTTAAGTGTTAATCTATGTGATCGGATTGCCGTTCACTGTGCCCATGCCGTACTTGAAGCCCGGAGGGGTAAAAAAAAAACCACCCCTCAACGCTTCCAATATAACAGCATCTCTTTTCCGCACAACCAATAGATATTTATCAACGGACTTGAAATGAATGTCGATCAAGGGTGGGGCTTAGTTGCAGAGAGGTTTGAACATCAGAGCCTTTAGTATGTACCGTCTCAACAGCGCACGTAAGGCAACACCGAATGCGGGTTCAAAAGAACAGACACAATTGCATGAAAACAAATGCCGAATTTCATTTTGAATGAAGGTCTAATCTGTAGGGCACCCTGTAGAGCTAGTTCATCTTTGGTCGTGATAACGGGTTACATCGCTAGTTAGTTCAGGAGGATGAAATGCCGGCGAGCTTGCAGTAAAATGAGTGCCGACCACATATCCTTTTTGTGCCACGTGGTCTTTCCATCAGCGCTGGATCATCCGCAAGAAAGTGTACGTGGCCACGTCAAAGCAAAAGTACAGTACATTACGGTCCCTCCTTTCTGCTTTTGCGCTGTTTGATCTGGCTCGAGTTTTCTTGTTCGGTATTCTGCTACTGTATGTACGGCATGAGTTTCACTACTTTACAGCTTAGTATCGTAACTCATCCGAATTATTGACGCGATTCAAGTCGATGCCCCTAACCTGCCCCAAGCCGAGTTTTCTACCACAAGCAATTTACTGCTGATGACCACATTGCAGTCGCACGGCATGTGATATCCTCGTTCGCCTAGCGACAAAGTGACTCAAACCAAATAACGGTGGGGTTACCGGTAAAGACGCCCTTTGTCTCATTCCGGCGACGACAGAAGCTAACTCCGGCTTCGTTGCTCATCCACAGCTTTCGAGATTTTCACTGCTTCAAACAATATATCCTCAAGTCAAAACAACCATACCGTATATCGCGAGCAAAATGAGCTTGGTGACGTCCTTTTCCGACTACATATTTTTCACCTTCGTGTTTAGAATCTGGCCTCCCACCGACTTCCGATCTCCCGACACTATTGCCTACGATATTGTGTCCAAAATTCTCCTTGCAGATACACCCAGGGAGATCCGCAAACAATTGCAGGAGGAACTAAGGGCTGTTGATTACAGCAAGGCTATGGCACAAGCTACTCTGCACTACCTGCAAGATGCCATCAAAGCCCGTACACAAATGTCCCGCGCCGCCGCCAATGCGCTGGCAAAAGCGAAAGATGCCGCTGTCGACATTTCGGGAGAACATCCTGTATATGTCACACTGGTTACATTGGGTGTGCTGGCAGTATTCGCTCCATGTGTACTGGAGGCCCTCGGGTTTGGAGGGTTGGGCCCAATGAAAGGATCGTTTGCGGCTGTCTGGCATCGAACTTATGCTGCACATGTAGCCAAGAGAACATTGTCAATTTACTTGCATAAGATGAGAATGGCGGGTAAGATGACCTGACCCCTCATCCCTTGGAACTTCATTGTAGATAAAGTATTTAGTACGATATCACTGCGACTAGCCTTCTAGTGAATTTCACAATATTTCCACAAAAGAAAGACTATGGCCCATAAAGAGACTACATCAATCGGCAGGGACGGTGGAATTGAAAAAGCAACAAACTTGACCGCCTTGAAACATCCTAATCCATTTGCGGTATATTTGTGCAAACGATGCAAACACGCGTGGTCGTTGGTCCCCACCCTCGCCGTCGCTATCTTGCCTTCGCAATCCTCTTCGATAGCTTGGTCCTTTTATGTCATGCACCATTAGAGTTTCCCACGGAAAGTTGATTTGCCAAAATTTATCTATTGAGACGCTGGGAGGCTATGCAGAGTATCGGTCTGAATCTTCCCCAAATGGTTGCCAGCAACAAATTACTACTTCATCCCATTTCGCAACGGCCTCGGTCCCTAGAAAGCTTTGATGCGCTTGACAATACACCTAAATATTTACTGAGCACTCCATGACTTTGAATCGATGTCTGCCTGCAACCCAGGATCTAGCAAAAGAAACAACCCACGCGACAACACACCAACAACTGAGATTTCGATCTCTTTGGCGGACTTGCAATTAAACCGACTGTTGCAGCCGATGCAATCGCACTCCGAAAATCTCAGATTCAAGCTACTGCCCGCATCTTATGAGTTGATTGAGACGGCTGACTTGGTGGTGTTGATTACAAGCATGGTCATGGAATTGATCAGTATCAATGACAAGATACCAATCCTCCCAAATCAGCTGACTCGGTTTCACTCGCGATCTTCGCCACAGATCACTGTGCATGATTACCTCCGTCGATTGACGGCACACGCTCATCTATCGCCTCCAATCCTACTCAGTATGGTCTTTTATATTGACCTACTATGTGCTGCATACCCTGCATTTATTATATCCAGCTTGACAATTCACCGTTTCCTGATTGTTAGTGCAACAGTTGCCAGTAAAGGCCTCAGTGATTCTTTCTGGACCAACAAGACATACGCTCGGATAGGGGGTATCAGCTCCACGGAACTCGCTGTGCTAGAACTTGAATTCTTATTTCGAGTGAAATGGCGAATTATTCCCAAACCAGAGGCGCTAGGCGACTACTATCGGTTCCTAGTTGAGCGCTGTGACGGCTTTGGAATCGAAATTCCCTGCTGAGACAGCAGCTAACCTTCCCACCGAAACCCATACACGACTCCGTTCACACTCGTCTCGAAATGATTTAAGCAGAAGACGCGCCAGGGTCAAAAAGACCTGAATAATAATTCCTACGTACTGCAGTCCCCCAAACACTACACACTCCTTTACCGGTTCGGGCGCCTGAAGTTGTATTTCAAAATCGCATTGATCATCATGTTGACTTGTGGAGCATGGACTGTATGGTGGGCCAAATCATCCGAGCCCAAATTCTATACAACAATAAACTGAGAGGAATGACAGCTTTGAGTGTGCGTCAACCGAGACTATACCTAGCAACATCCTGAGAATTTTTCGATCTTCAACCCTGCATGCCGAAAATGGCCTCCAGCACTCTCTTCTTTTGCACCGACCACATCAATACACCATGTGAGGAAGGCATCAAATCCTTGATCGGGATCTGCCTCATAGTAATTCCAGTTACGTTTGATGAAGCTTTTGAGCTCAGCAAAAAACTCTTCAATTGGATTTAAGTCCGGCGAGTAGGGCGGCAAATAAACCAATTATTACCCCCGCATCCCCACACATCAGCGCAATCCGCTCTGAATGATGAAACGACGCATTGTCCTTAACCACAACAGATTTAGGCTCGGGCCATTTTCCGCAGTGCTGAAGGAGCTGAGCTATAAAGTCCTCGAACATAATGGCGTCCGTTGAACCGCGGAAGACACGCGACAGAACGATCCCATCCTGGGCATAAGCAGGCAGTATCTGATATCGCTGTTCGCGGTGGAATTGTGATACTTGCATAGGGGCCACGCCAAGTGGCGACCAGCCTGTCCGCCTGAACCCGACCCTTTTGTCACATCCAGATTCATCAACGTAAACTAGGTGATATGACTGAAAGTGCGATAAATTGTGCAAATAACATAGATCAAATGTGCGGTACATGGGACAGAGCACGGCTCGGACCACCGTGCCATTGAGACTGTGTTCGATGCACCGTGGCCGATCCCAAAGTATCAGGAACGGCTTCTACTGAAGAACGCGCCATGGAACGAGATTAATGCTAGAATCGCGAGCACCCTGGCCGCCACTCCGTCGGAAGGCACAGTACAGCAGAAAACCGATCGACTGATGTCTGCGGTCTCGGACGCGGTGCAAGATTTAACTCCGAGAGCGAAGCCGTCACCACACGCGAAGCGGTGGTGGACAACTGATCTGACACAACTGCGTCATATATACACATACTGGCGAAATCACGCTCGTTCGGAGCGACGGGCGGGGCGAAAAGCACCTCGGCTCGAAAAGATGGCCCAGGATGCGGCGAAACAATACCATGATGCCATCCGTAAACAAAAGAAGAAGCACTGGAATGAGTTTCTCGCAGACAACGACAACATATGGAAAGCAGCGAAGTATCTGAAGCCCGGGGAGGATGCGGCATTTGGGAAATTACCGCAGCTCGTCAGAGCAGATGGGACCACCACCGCTGACCACTTGGAGCAAGCAGAGGAGTTGCTGTCCAAATTCTTCCCGCCCCTGCCGGACAACATTGACGATGAAGGGACCAGACCACAAAGAGAGCCAGTGGAGATGCCGGCCATCACCCTGGAGGAGGTAGAACGACAGCTTCTTGCAGCGAAATCGTGGAAGGCACCGGGAGAGGACGGCCTGCCGGCGATAGTTTGGAAGATGACGTGGCCCACGGTCAAGTACAGGGTCCTTGAACTATTCCAGGCGTCGCTGGCAGAAGGCTCGTTGCCAAGACAGTGGAGACACGCGAAGATCATACCGCTCAAAAAACCAAACAAAGAAAATTACACCATTGCAAAAGCATGGAGACCGATCTCACTCCTAGCGACACTGGGCAAGATACTGGAATCAGTAGTTGCAGAAAGGATCTCACACGCGGTGGAAACCCACGGCTTGCTCCCGACCAGCCACTTTGGAGCCCGGAAACAGCGGTCCGCGGAGCAAGCACTCTTGCTCTTGCAAGAACAGATCTACACGGCGTGGCGGGGCCGACGGGTATTGAGCCTGATCAGCTTCGATGTCAAAGGAGCCTACAACGGAGTGTGCAAAGAGCGATTGCTCCAAAGGATGAAAGCACGAGGCATACCGGAGGATCTGCTCCGGTGGGTTGAGGCGTTCTGTTCGGAACGAACGGCGAACATCCAGATCAACGGGCAATTGTCGGAGGTCCAAAGCATGCCACAGGCTGGGTTACCGCAGGGCTCGCCCCTGTCCCCGATCCTATTTCTCTTCTTCAACGCAGACCTCGTGCAAAGACAGATCGACAGCCAGGGAGGAGCAGTCGCTTTTGTGGATGATTTCACCGCATGGGTGACCGGGTCAACCGCGCAGAGTAACCGGGAAGGGATCGAAGCAATTATCAATGAAGCCCTCGACTGGGAAAGGAGAAGCGGAGCGACCTTTGAAGCTGAAAAGACAGCTATCATACACTTTGCCCCCAAGACGCGTAAATCGGACCACGATCCATTTACCATCAAGGGACAGACGGTTGTACCCCAAGACCACGTCAAGATCCTGGGATTATTGATGGACACGAGACTCAAGTACAAGGAACATATTGCAAGGGCCGCTTCCAAGGGCCTGGAAGCAGCGATGGAGCTTCGGCGACTTCGGGGCCTAACCCCAGCAGCAGCGCGGCAGCTATTCACCTCGACGGTGGCGCCGGTCGTGGACTACGCCTCCAATGTCTGGATGCACGCGTGCAAGGATAAAGCCATGGGACCGATTAACCGAGTCTAAAGAGTAGGAGCACAAGCCATTGTGGGGATATTTCTCACGGCCGCGACCAGCGTAGCAGAGGCGGAGGCCTGTATTGCCACTGCGCAGCATCGATTCTGGAGACGGGCCGCTAAGATGTGGACGGACATACACACTCTACCGGAAACCAATCCTCTCCGCAGAAATACAGATCGGATCAGGAAGTTCAGAAGATACCACCGCTCGCCGTTGTATCAGGTAGCCGATGCGCTCAAGCATATCGACATGGAAACACTAGAAACCATCAATCCGTTCACATTGGCACCATGGGAAGCACGCGTACAGGCTGGCGTTGAAGCAACTCCGCAGTCACCGATCGTACTAGGCGGGTTAATGCAGATCGCAACCAGCAGTTCGGCTCGGAACGAGCTGGTCGGATTTGGGGTGGCGATCGAGAGGCAGCCACCTCGGTATCGAAAACTGAGATTGAAGACCCTTTCCGTCACATTGGGTGCAAGAGCAGAGCAAAATCCGTTCTCCGCGGAGCTAGCAGCGATGGCACATGCATTGAACATGGTAGTTGGAGTGAAGGATTACCGGATTACGCTACTCACGAGCAACAAAGCGGCGGCTCTGACACTAAGGAACCCTCGACAACAGTCAGGTCAGGAATTCGTCTACCAACTGTACAAGTTGATGAGAAAACTGAGGAGAAATGGAAACCAGATCAATGTCCGGTGGATCTCAACGAGTGAAGACAATAAACTGCGGGGTCTGGCCAAGGAACAGGCCAGAGCCGCGACACAAGAAGATGCTGTCCCGCAAAAGCAGGTCCCAAGGATGAGTCAACAACACTCAATATTGCACGGTCCCAAGCAGTTCCCAACAATGACCTACCAGCGAATATAGGGAGACACGCAAAACGAGTTGATGCAGCACTCCCAGGCAAACACACCCGGCAACTGTATGACCGATTATCGTGGAAAGAAGCGAGCGTGCTGGCTCAACTCCGAACCGGCATGGCAAGACTCAATGGATATCTCTATCGAATCAACGTAGCAGACACGGACCAATGTGCGTGTGGACAAGCGAGAGAGACCGTGGAGCACTTCCTATTTCGATGTCAAAAATGGACGGCGCACCGGATGGAACTATTACAATGTACCAACACCCACCGAGGAAACATATCCTTCGCCTTCCGATGATCAGAAGTGGACGCCGAACTTAGACGCGGTACGGGCCTCAATACGATTCGCCATCGCCACGGGCCGACTCGAGGCCACCTAACCACGCCGACGAACATAAATCACCCCCCTTTCGCCGATCTAACCCACCAACCACCTCGTGTTACAGACGGTAGACGCGCTTCAACTGCCGAAAATAGGATGTTGAACACTTGGAGAAGCGCCTTCAAGCCAGCCTACTAACAAAATTACTAACCCACGAGGATCCGCTGCGATACGGACATCTGAGATGACATATATTGCAAGGCTTTATGTATGGGCTCTAAGGAGACACAGTACTATATATATTATGACATGTATAGTAGATCAGAGATAGTTGCCCTTTCGGCTTAGCCGCCGGGCGTTAATAAATTGTGTGTGTGTGTAGCCTAAGCTTGAACCAAATCAAACCGGACGTTGGATTCTGTAACTTGAAGAACCCGATAGCTCAGACACAACTTGGAGGGACATTTTCCATGTGGCATAGTTATAGTTGTTCAGCTTTGACTAGTGTACCCGCAGGAGCCGGCCCTCTGCGAGTGAGTTCGGCAGACACCCTTGTCTGTCCAGTGACGGGGACCTTACTCAACATGCGAGAGCAAGGGTACGGTGTACCAAGCTCCCAAGCTGAATGCAAGTAAAGTGGTGCCATTTCCCGGTCTAACTCTACTGGGCAATGACTACATTTGTGGGGGCGCTCGAAGTACCAGCTAGCTAATGAGGTGAGGGCTTAGCGTCACAGTGTGGCTGCTCCATGTGGGTTCTTGCGCTTGTTCTCCGAAGCTGTTGGGGATTGAGTAGTAGCGTGTAGCTTAGTTGCTGATCAACAGCGATGGTTGGTGTATGTGCTCGGTGCGTATCGGGATATGCACAGCAATAAAACAGTAGGCAAAATGTACCCGGGGAGGATCCCGCAATGGAGCCTTTCAGTTCGTGCGCGCCGGCCGCTAGAGCAGTGGCCACATAGACGAACAGAAGTAAACTTGCATCGAGAAAGGTTTGTTATTAGTGACTGGTGGAGGTTCAAATTGCGGGTCAATATGCAGAGGCAGGGGTATCAAATGAAAGAGCAGGGCCTCCTATCTGTTCGGTGGTTGGACTTGACCAGGTGCCTCGAGCAGCAGGGACCCCCTGTCAGTGATCAGACGTTGACCAGGATACCTGCAGCAGCAGGGGATCCCTGCCCGTTTGGGGGTTGAATTGAACCAGGATACCTGAAACAGCAGGAACCCCCTGCCCGTTCGGCGGTCGGACTTGACCAGGGTGCCTCGAGAAGCGGGGATCCCCTGTCAGTAAGGTGGTTGGACGTTGGCCAGGATACATGCAGCAGCAGGGATTCCCTGCCCGTTTGGGGGTTGAATTTAACCAGGATACCTGAAACAGCAGGAACCCCCAGCCCGTTCGGGGTCCGGGACTTGACCAGGTTGCCCGCAACAGCATGTATGTTCGAAGCCTGCGAACGGACTCACATCGAGCAAGGCCTCCTGTTTGTCCAGCGGTTGAGTCTTGATTCTGTGACTCATCATGCAGCAATCGAGATACAAAGGATTTGGACCGAGAGTTACATCAACCACGGTTCATTGTTCGTCCAGCGATTTAGCCCAACCCCTGGTTGAACATGTAGCAGCAAGAATTTCAACTCGAACGGTTTGAATAAAGTGACCGGGGGAGAGTGGGGCTCAGTGGGGTTTACTAAGTACCCTTGTGCCTTTCAGCTAATCCCGGTTGTCAACGCCCAACACTGCAGGGCCCATTGGTGCGTACGCCAGAAATATCGCTGACAGCTTAGACCGGGAATCTGGTCGCTCCAAGGTTACTGGTCCAAATTGCCGTCCGTGCGCCCCATTCCCAGCCGGATCTGGCCCCCCGGAAGCTAGGGCCAGGGTTGTCACAGACCCCTTCTGCGCCGCAGACCATTGCAGGCGCTGTGGTCGGCGAAAGGGCACGATGGTCTTCGTAGGCTAGTATGTAGCACAGGAACAAAGAATAGGACTAGGTGATCCACTGTGCTACGGACCTTCTACGTTTCCAATGGCTATCCTGCTCGTTCCTCCTGTCCAAGAAACCCTGGGCTCTCCGTCCCTTTGTTCCTGCTGACCTCGTCTACGGATTGAAGTGATCGGTGGGCCCCTGGTGCCAATCCTAACTGGACCCGAATGCGATAACGCCCGACGCCCCTCGTCGCCGATCACTCACTGGCTCGATGGGATTTCCAGTCATGTCATGCCTTGTCAAATAATGCTTCCAGTTGGAGTTATGTGCAGATGCCAAGATGCCGAGTGCTTCAGGGGAATCGGTATGATCCAATGATGTTCTGCCGTTGTTCAGCTGAAGGGGTCAATGCAGTGGTCGCGCGACTTGGGTGATTCTCACCCTGATTCTCACCCTGTCTATAGCGCACTCACCCTTCTTACCTCCAGTTTCGCAATACTCACCCATTTCTTACCCAGGAGACACCCATGATGCAGTCAGTGATCGGAGACGCAAGGCTCATACCGCCGAGCTTTCAAACTTCCCTGTTGCCCTTTGCCGAATGGCCACCAAGCTGCGCTCTGCAATGCCGGAGGAGATATCATCGTTGATTCGGGAGATTCAAATCCTGTCAACAGACCAAGACGCCGTTGATTACTTGTTCACGAATACTGAATACCCAACGGTCGTTGCAGCCAGCAGCCTCTACCATCTGTGATGTAAATAAATCCCCGTCGCAGATCATGTCATAAATAAGTTCCCAAGTGGCTAGATTGAGCGCCATCTCAGATTGAATACATGTGATTGATTGTCAATGGTGTTCGTACCATTGGATAGTACATTTCGCAAGGTGCGGCGGCACCCTAGGTGTCAAGGTGTAATAATGATACAGGTAATATACGACAAGCTACGATCTAGGGTATCATCTGTTTGACACAATACAGCTGTCAACGACAGGGATTGTCCGGAAAAATCCTAGAATGGACTAGTATATCTTGGCAATTAGGGTTCGAGGAATAAGAAATAATGAAAGAGTGTAGGTGACCAATTTCGGAACGTACTGTATCCTACTTGCTTCTACAACGATTTCATCGAAGCATATCTTCATATGCCTACCCTTGTCTAGGTCAACATTATTCTCAAGTCAGACTGCAGTAGCGACCGCTTCCGCCTTCCATGTCGGACAACATAGAGGAGCTTTCTCAAACCCTAATAACATGCTGCGCTAAACCATATACGGTTCGCATTGTATTTCAGAGTCCGTTACTGTACCGAATGGTATAATACCAAACGAGCAAATGACTAAGTCCGGTATCTACGTGTATTGTTACAGCTCTAGGATTCTATCACTCATCACATCATTGCAACTCTCTCAAACAATTGTAGGTCGTTAGACATTACATTGCTAGGGACCAACGATACGTTCTACCTCACGATGGCATGAAGACTCGACGCTTGGGCTTATTGAGATATAATTCATGTGACAAGGGAAAGCGAAAATCGCCTACATCTCAAACGGCTCTCTCAATCTTGATAAATTCCCATGCTGTCCCCTCGCGGCCGACAACCAACATTTCATCCTGGTCTATCTGCATCGGCTCGAACCAAATCCGAAGCCAATCCTGTCGCTTTACGAAGAGTACTTGGCCTCCGGTAGTAGGGCATTGCCTTGTAAAAAAGAAGCCGCCCGCACGATCACGATGCTCCCTTGCCGTAGCAACGAATTTCCCATGGTTATCGTGCCCTATAAAAGTCCCCGAGGCCTCATTTCTAAAGCCGAAAAACCTATCCTCGTTCTCGTTGCACTGCCAACATATGTCACGACCGGACTGTATATTGCGGGAAACCAAGCATAATTCGCCATCCTGAATCGCAAGGAGCCGGTTCGTCTTCGGATCGCGAATGATGTATGACTGTCCTTGACAAGGTGACTGTCCAAGGCTTGTCATACTTGACTTGCTAGAATAGTGCGATTCGATCTGTTCACGGGAAAAACTTGAATCTGTTGGTGTATTCATTCCGCTATAGCCCCCACTTGTGGATAACACTAATTCGGAATGTTCCATAGCTTCGAATCCTAACAATTAGTTAACCATAATGTATAATTTAGTCCGGTTGTCAATTGGTACCTTTATATTTTTTTAGAGATAAGTTTGCGGATGATTGCTGCCCAGACTGAATGGTGTAAAGAAGTTCTCGGTGGGCAGTTAGAGATTTTTTATATAAGCGGGGTAGCGGGGTCGAACTCTACACATGTGAGATATCGTACGCAGAGATGTTGTACGACACATTTTTGAAACCGGATGGGAAATTTTCAGACAAAGACATCAAGAGGAGCTACTTATTCCATTTGGAAGAGCCCTCGCATGGTCCTTTGTCTTGAATAAACGCCAAGATGATGCGATCTGTCTTTTGCAACTGATACAGAAGGGAGACCCACCCTTTGGATGGTCGACAGGAACATCATCACAGCCGCCTATTCAACCAATCAGAGAGCTCTTAGACCAGCTAGTCTCTGAGAAGGACGGTGTTGATAGAATGTACATCGGCTCTGATTTGGACCATCCGCTTGTTGAGATTAACGGAAAATCCAAACCAAGTCTCAATGCCAAGGAGCGGGTCATTCTTTTGGAGGATGGAATCTTATTCAGGGAAAACTCAATGGTGATGATGAGAAATATGATGACGAAAAAGATCAAACCTTCTCCGCCGAGT